TATCAAATTTCCGACGCTTTATAATCGTCGCTTTATAGCCGCTTGTGAGTAGATGGCCATCTCGTTTCTGCTTTTCCCAAATACACATTTGAAGATTGTATCAACAAACAAACAAAAAATTATCCTTGAATTCAGAATGTTTAAGCGTAGGATATAAAGTAGAAAAGTCAACGTTCGATTTTATTGATTTAGCATTGTATTTATGATTTAATAATTAGTAGGACTGACAATCGAGACTTCGTTTATGATCTTAGTAATGATATTTGACTATTTATTGTCAAAACTTCAAACACTCATAGCTTCGCAAAGAATAAATTAATTGATTTTTCATTATTTATTTTGAACTATTACAGCAAGAACGTCCGATTTATAATCTTACATAGTGCATCTTTAATATAACGTCGTAAATCTGTCCTGTTGGTGCAGGAAGTAGAACATTAAACACCATTTCATTTCATTTAATATCAGAATGAACAACCCCAAACAATCCAACGAGAACTGTATTCGTGTGATATGTTCATGTTGAATGTTCTAGAGAGCTGCGTTTTACGATCGATTTTTTACTACATGCTTGTGTCAGTTCATAAGCATGCATAAAGCATAATACATTTAATGTGATTTTAGATTTATGTATTCAGTGCACTAATTTGATTGAAGCCTTTTCCCTTACATGCTATATAAACGATTACTGTTAAGGAAAATCGTAAACACTTCCAGTACAACCTGGTAAGTTCTTTGAAAATAATAAAATAACTTCCATAAATCAAGAATTAAAGCACCCCAACAAATTTCGCATCGCTGCTCTCGCCACTCATCATAGCTATAACTGGACCCCGCTATAACTCACAGGGTCAGGTTAAGGGAAGGGCTTTAGTAGGCATCGTTCAGCTGGGGGAGGGGAGGGGTTGAATAATTTATGAATGCTGAATCAACTGATTAGTACCCTAAATTGATTATTTTTTAAAGTTTCAAATAACATAGTGCATAAAATTGTATGGTATACCTGTGGCGGCCGGTGGCTAAAACATTTCCTGGGTTACATAGATCTAGACATAAGATACTTTTAACTGATTTCACATTCAATAGTCGGTGTACAGTAGTGTGGCGACATTACTACAGAGTGAGAGAAATTGGGTTTAACGTCCACTCGACACAAACTAGGTCATTTCAGGACTAACATATGGTTTAATTTTATTTCAATAATTCGCTTGCGCGTAGGGGTCTTTAGCAGTGGGAGGAAACCGGATGACCCGGAGAAAACCCACGAGGTTGGACACATTACTACAGTTTTTGTCGTAGCTAATTCTCCTGTTAACGACACTGAGACCATTATTTCTTAACGTTTCTAATAATTCGACCTTAAATTTGTAGGAATTTACACGTTTCAAGGAAATATTGCCATGCATTAAGCGATATTTCAGAATCACTGAACTCATTAGGTATTATATAGATTTTTATATTTTAGTTTTATCTTTATACGGGGACAACGTTGGCTCAGTGAGTAAAACGTTCCGCGTTGACTCAGTGAGTAAGACGTTCCGCGTTGGCTCAGTGGGTAAGACGTGGTTACCCATTATCAGTGGTGCGGTACGGAGAGCCTGGCAAGAGACAGCGTATGGTTGTTGGAAAAACCGAGGTCCCATCATGAGCATGGCGGCCCATGATTTTACATGAGGAACAAGATTCTTCCGGGCCCCCAAAAAGCAATATTTAAATTTGTGTGCGGGGAAGGGGGAAAGTCCCTAGAGGTGCCGCCGAGTAATATTGGGCTGTGTGGAACATGCTAAAGTCGATTTGTAGCATATGGACCCACTGGTTAAACTTTATGATTATGGTTATAATGTTGTTGAAAACCGAATTAAAACCGCTTGATTTTTGCCATTGGGGGCGGGGGGCGCAAAATCACAAAACCATGACGCAAAACGCGTCATTGCGTCTCTTTTACTTAGCCCCTGGGTCCCATGTACACATCGGCATGCACTTAAAAGAACCTTTGATAGTTGGAAATAAAATTAAAAAAACTTAATAGTTGGAATTAAGAGGAGGTCCTCATAGCACACTGTATGGCTTATGCCATAGTGATGCAGGACGAGGGCCTGACAAGGACAGCTGTCTAGTCGTTCGGATGGGACGAGAAAACGAGGTGCCGTGTACACATTGGCGTGCACGTAAAAGATCCCTTGGCAGTTGGAATTCGATATAAGAGTAGGCCGTAGCGCCGCGGCCCGGGCAAAATTTCCCTCATCGCACACTGTATGGCGTATGCCCGTCTTCATTAGCCCAGGTTAGGAGCAGAACAGTAGGACGTTAAACCCCATTTCATTTATTTTCATTTCATTTCGGTGCAGAATAGTACAACGTTAAAGACCTTTTTTATTTTATCCCTAAATCATAGTGTTTTTTTGTGTTCGGTTACTCCCCATAGATTAAAGATATTAATTGGAAATCTATAATCTATGCACAGTCTCCACGGTCCCCGGTCCCACCCCCACCCCTGTAGTACAATACGACCGGATGGCTGAGACTACAAAGATATTATCAATTGTCACGTGAAATACCAATTTCCGGCTGTATTCTTATTTTTTATAAATTTCGTATTGGTTATAATTGTTGTGAACACTATGTATCTTAAAATAGTTCGGTGAAGAACACACGACCCTATAATTAACAACTATTTTTTAATCATTAACATAGCCAAGTCACTACTAACACATTACTACGCTGAATCATTTGCCCTTTACAAATTTCAACAGTAGACTAGCCGGTTTGACCCTTCATTTCAAGTTCTAAAGAAAATGTTTCCACCTGCGAATTTCGCGGAAATAAGAAACATCACCTTTTAGCTCTTTCACTTTATTGAAGTTTTACGCTCAAAGATTTGAAAAATGACTGTCTAACCTTTTCAGAAAGCAAGAACTCGTTAACTATGTTCAAGGCGTAAAATAAAACATATCACGCGATCTGTGTGTCTTGAAATCGGTTTAACTATCTTGGTCAGTATGTTAACAACTGTCGGAATAAATTGATCGATAGAGTTTTATTGGAAGTTGTCTTTGATGAATTCATTATTTTAAACTGAAAAAAATATGTGTGATGTATTATATTATAAACATCCACCAGAAAAGGTCATCCCATATTATGGTAAGTATGACATCTTAAAACTTTTATAGTAATAAGTGAAATTAAATGCGGTTTAACGTCCTACTTTTCTGCACCAACGTTGATAATGAAGACGGGCATACGCCATGCAATGTGTTATAAGGTCAATTTTACCCGGACATCGGCGATCTTATTTTGAATTCCAATTGTCCTATCCGAATGACTAGACACTGTCCTTGACATGTTCAGCTTTGTGGGTTTTTCTCCCACTGCTGGCGTTATAGTTTCTCCATTTTTATATTAAATCATTAAACTATGGCAATCGCATGTCAATCCGTTTACATCTGCGCCATCCAATGTTCCAGAGAGTTGGTTACAGGCTTGACAAGTGGATAAATTCTAAATAATAAATTATATAAAATTTTAAACTCTTACATAATGAATCCTTAACGGGTGGGCGTATAAAAATATGTGGAGTAATAGTTTGTCGTGTAGAAAATTAATTTATAACCCCACATTTGACTTCCTTTTACTTGTATTTAATTTTGCAAATTGATTCAATTGTTTATTTATATACCGAATGGGTTTTATTATACTATTGTAAAAGTTTGAATAACTAATTCATGCTTGCACTGCTGCATTTAGTTTCAACTAAAGACTAGTCTAAGTACTACTTTCGTACTGCTCTACAATTTTATCTAAAGACTAAACTAAATACTAATTTTTGTACCTGTAGGCCTACTACTTTTTTTAATTTCAACTATAAACTAGACTAAATACTAATTTTGTACTTGTACTGCTGTATAATTTTAACTAGACTATAGACTAATTTTTGTACTTGTACTGCTGTATTTAATTCAATCATACGAGGCTGGGTATGATTACTCATTCTGCTCTTTGTTCTAATAAAATTTATTCACCATCTTTAGGGTGGAAAAACAAAGATAAAGCTAATGCTACAGATCTTCCGGGCTTCCAAATGGAGACCTACTTGCTGATTCTGGATTCCTTTCTGAGCATCTTATTGTTTGGTCCCCTTGTTGCTGTTTACTGGCGGGGAACCTGGGGCATAGCCGACCTGTATTTATTTCCAGAAGATAAACTTTTAAGCCAGTGCTTATCCCTTGGAGGTGGAATGTTGATCAGTTTAACCATGATGCTCCTTCAGGATCGATTTAATGTGTGGAACCGAAAGATGGGTAGTACTGCATTTCTGGTCATTTCCAGGATGCATTCCTATATATTAGCTCACGCTTGTGTTCATTACTGGCGGGGTATCTGGGGGTTTTTGGAATATACCGGAAGGTCTTTACACAGAGCATCTATAACGGCAGCCTTGTCCACTATTTTATTAGTGTTATTCAGAGGAATGTGTGATTCTGTCTCGGCTCCATTATATACCATGACTGATCTAGATCGTAAGGATTATTTCGTCATCCCAACCAGGTTCAAAATAAAGGTAGGTCATCTTATATTCTGAGCAACAAAATAAACGCCACGCTTTTTACGACACATGAACTTTATCAAATAAATTGCATTTAATGCAGATATTAAAAAAAATAATATGTATAATCTGACAATATGGTATTAAAAGAAGTGCGTGAGGTAAAGGGTAACTCGAGTGCACACTACTGGGACCTTCACACTGTATACTTCACGTTGTAAACATCATTTAACGGTATAGTCTTACAACGATGCCAAGACTGTCGCTGGTACATGCCGTCAACTTACGTCAACGTGCGAACTCTCCAGCATTTTGCTGTTCCATGAATGTCCATTCCGTGATAAGAATGACAACTTCACCGCAGCACCTGCGTAATAAATTTCAAAATGCCATAAAAAATGGGTTTTACTGAGAATATATGTTATTCCATAATTGTCTTTTCAGCCCAACTTTGAGCTTAAAGTTTATAGTAGACTGTTGTTTTACGGTGGTTTGTGTTCTGGGAACGGTTGCTGTTCAATGGCGTAGTATATGGGTGATAGCTGACTTGCTTCTTGCTCCCCATAATCCGATCTATTCATCTTGGTTATCCATGGCCGCTGGAAACATCTTCACCCTCCTATTACTTGTAGCCCAATGGCCACTCATGCAGATAGCTAAAACCTTAAAACGTAAAGAGACCAAATTTTATATTTTACTTCTGATAGAAGATGTGATGAGTTTATGTGGAAATGTTGCTGCGGTTCTAGTTTGGCGTGGGTTTTGGAATCTACAGGATCAGTTCTTGTTAAAAGACATTCCAAAAATGGTCTGGGCGTTACATGTTGGATCAGTTACAATTCTCATTCTCTTATTGCATTTCAAGACGGTGACATTAGCAGGTGTGTGGACTGACGGGGACGTGATCTTTAGTGGCGAGAAGATATTTTTCGAAACAAGGTTTATAACCAGTTTCATCAAACATCGTGACCAACAGGTGGGTGTGATTTGTTTATGTCATTAGCCTGCAAAGTAAACCGCCGTCTCCATTAGACCAGTCGGTGCGGAAAAGTGGGACGTTAAACCCCATTTCGTTTCAAAGTAAACCCCGGCAACTGTCAACAGTAAAGTAGGTACTTCACAATCTTTGCCACTTCAATCTTTTTTGTAGACGTTCAATCTTTTGGTAGACGTTGGTTAAATAGCTATTGTACTTTCATCTGCTTTCCCGCCTTCAATGACCTCCATTCCTCAGAGGGTATGATACTAAACACATCGTGAAGTGAAGTCGATTAAAATAAATACTCCGTTGTTATCCAAGTAGTCCTTCCTATATAGATTATGAAACCAATATTCCTTAGGCTACGTTAGTTACAGAGGCGTGGTCAGCATCATTGTCGAAGTTTGAGATAGGAGTTGTGGTGTGTGTGTGTGTGGGAGGGGGGGGGGGGTATCATTTTATGGAGGTGGGTGTGGCTGATGGTTAGTAACGTGCAACATAAACATATTCCTTAAGTGGCATCTAGTAAATGAGCACAGAAGCGATAAGAGGATACTTGTGGAAACGCCGTGGTTTTAGAATAAAACCATAAAACCAGTGATTGATTTCCCATAAATATTTTGTTTTGTTTGAGGCGATAAACATATTTGTTAATCCCAGACTACTCTACATTCTCAAAAATTAAGGCTACTCCAATACCCAAATGACTTGACTGGGGGATTTATATTTATGTCTAACAGCAGCCTTCGAATGACAAGAAATATCTTGTCAAGTTTGGATACGGTACCGGTTAGTTTAAATTTATCTTGCTGGGGTAAACAGTATAATAATAATAATAATAATAATATGATTTGATCAAACGGATCCATCATTTAGTTTCTGCGTTGCTCTATGCGAGGCTTCTGGAGAAGGAATGAGGTGGGGCTGGGGGGTATAAATAATTGACCCAAACGCTTTATGAAATATAAAATCTTACAAAATTAAAATTGTGGAAATAACATTTCTCTTTAGTTTAATTTGTTATAATTATATTCTTTTCAGTCTGACATGCCAGCTAAAACACTGGATGAGAAATGGAATACGGACAAGCCAGGAGTCACGGCTATATCTTACAGCAGACGACGAGAGAATACCTCAAATATATCAGACGATGCTAAGTTCTAATAGGAAACTAAATGTCAGTTGTGTTAAGCGCTAAACAAATATTTCCATTTCATGTTTTAATGTAATTGTATAAGTCGTCGTGCAATATTAGCTTCACAATATACCAAAAAGGAAAATATGTAGGTTCAGTTCAAAGCACATTAAAACGATACCTATCGAACAGCATGTTGTCCCATGTAAAAAAAAACATTTATTGGCAGTTGGGATGAAAAGTAGGCGAAAACGCCGCAATCCGAGCAAAATACCCATCAGTGTACAATGCATGGTGTATTCCTGTCTTTGTTATTTCGGTTGGTGCAGAAAAATAGGATGTAAAACCCCACTTCTTATTATATGTTTTACGGGAGCCACGGTGGCTAACCAGAAGGTCGGGTGTTCGACCCCTGCGTTCATCGGGATTTACCGTCGTGGTTCCCTTTTGTCAGTGGTCTGGGAAGGAACGATGTATAGTCGTTCGGACGGTACGTTTAACCGAGGTCCCGTGTAGTACACATTAGCATGCACGTACAATTTAGCATGCACACACAATTTCCCTCATAGCACACTGTATGGCGTTTACCCGTCTTCTTTAGCCCAGTCGGAGCAGAAAAATAGGACGAAAAACCCCATTCAATTTCCATTGTTTTATATATTTAACACTAAAATTGCTATCAGCCCTTATTTTTTGTAAAGCTGTAGTTTTAAAAAAAACAATTATTTTCCTGATACATCGAAGTCTTAGAAACCACAGTTGTTGTTACTTTTTTTTTTAAATCCGTACAATTTCTAGTTTTATGTGTTCACTAATCGTTTACGTATCTTAAAAGACAATGACTTTGAGGAATCTATTTTGCATGGCTCATGGTTGTGTTGATTGGTATATTCGTGTCTCGACGCCGGTCACGATATCACTATCTTATACATAATAAATTATTAATAAATTATCCATTCCCGTTCTAACGAGCAGATATCTATAGTGTCAATGGTGGTATATGCCAGATAACATGGTCTACAATCTGTATGTTTTATCCTTATACCATGGATCCTTCATATTAAATGGATGCTTGTCGATCACCCCCAATGGACGCGTGGCGATCATTTGGAATGCACGATCATCTCGGATGAAAATGGACTATCATCCACCAAGAATATACCACATCTGGAATGGAAGAGGGACGTACAATGAACCTGCGTCTCGAATGGGCGATCTTCTGGAATGTACGATCGACCAACACCTAGAATGTACGATCGTCTGGAATATATGTGCTTAACCCATTAGTTCTAATAGTTGACATCTGTTGATAACTGATCTTAAATCGTTCTTCTAATCATATCCTGTGGCCACCACTTGGTGATCTGTATCCGTTGAGACCATTGTCGTTGTCTCCTGTGTTAGTGTGGTATCTCGAGATCTAGTTAACTGAGCTTCAAATGTATTGTCGACTACTTCCACGGCATATGCATCTGAAAGATCAAAATTGAAATGTATTTAAGGTAAAATAGAAGAACCGGCTATCAAAATACGAAGTCAGTAAACAGATTCAGCCCATTCAAGCAATATCGCGTAATGGAAAAACGTAGCAGGAGATTAAGGAAGGATAATCCAAGACACGTTGATTCACAATTGTAATAAATATTTCCCGCACTTTGTATTTGAATTTCAATTTGTTAGATCTGGGGCGGAGGAGGGAAGGTTGTGATGGAGAAGTATGGGGTTTAGCGTGTAGGAAACACAATTCGTCGTATTTTGTTTCGCCCAGATTAGATTCCTTTTCCTTGATTGTCAGTCTCGCTTGAAACAAATCTATGTACCGGGATTTGAACGGTGTACGTTCTAGTAACGAGTCGACCATTCAACAGCTGTCGGGTTTCCTCTTGAATTCATGATATACGGTACACAGTTATTGGAAGTTCAAAATCTGAATTATTATTTCAGTTTCCTTTGTGTTATTTATTTATGAAGGAAAGCAATATTAAAAGAGCCCATAAATGTAAGATATGATAATGGTTACGACTTACTATTCCAGGGATCATTGACCGATCTGTCATTCATATCAAAGTTCTCCTGTGTTCGTGGATCATCAGGCATGGTTGGCCAGAGAACATTCCCAGCGATAGGGTGATCATATAGATCAAATCTGTTTCTTCGCTCAAATATTGGTTCTATATACAGACGCCAAGCTCTCCATACAGTGGGTTGATCATCAACAGGAGAACCCAATGTTCGGATATGATCCGCGGGATCAACGCTCGAGTATAGGGTACCACCGTGTAATCCCCAGTCCACTGAAAAAGATATTTTGTTTCAGTTGTAATTATAGTGACAGGTATCCGGTTAGGGGTGGGCTGGGGTTAATTACGAATAGTAATACCAACATTTTCACAGTTTCCTCTGCGAATGTGCTGCTGTGGAAAGCATCGAAACCATGAGCACGCAACCACCTACTCTCTATGCTAATCATAGACGCAACAGCGCACTAAGAGCCAACACTACACCTGAAAACTGTTAAAAATGTGATGCTCGGCTAATCTGTTTAGTGGACGGACAGATACTAAAGTCGTGCCCTATACATAGGTGTGGTATTTTCATAATTTAGACGAAGCCTTTCGTGCTCTATTTTGGGCATGGATTAATTAATCATTCAGTTTTGTTATTTTATCATGAAATGTGTAAAACCGAACACTTACAGTCTTCTTCCGTTGGTTCCCTCCATAGCAGAGCTCTAACAACTCTTTTATGTTCCTCTAAAAACAAATACACGTATACTATATTAAACAAAATTCCAAATTTAATAGCATTAAACATGAGACGGCTTGGATATGTTTATTTCTCAAATCGTATTTTATTCAAAATCATCTCAATCTTGTGTCCTGGTATGTTTGATTTTACACTGAAGTATCGTAAGACCTTTACTTTGGTATATCAAAATGTCAAGTTGTTGTTTTTTTTTGTTGTTGTTTTTTTTTTTGGGGGGGGGGGTATATTTCGGTACGAATTATATATGAGCCATGACTTGGCAGACTAAAGCATTAAAAAAAAAATAAACAAATCACGTAATTAATTAATTATAGTTAGGATTGTTTTATACCTTTCTCTTTGTATATCAAATATTCTTTAATACCATGAACCGCCATAGTTAAAAATGTCAGCCCAAACATCTAGAGAAATAAAAACAAAGATATGTATTTAAAATAGTACGGATTCGTTTCAAAAATAAAAGTCAATGGATGAAGATACAATCAAACAACGGAAATACTTAGAGATTTAAAGCAAACTGGCCGATATAATATTTGTTAGAATTTGATAACCTTTATGTCAACTTTTTGATATATATTTTTTTTTTTTGGGGGGGGGGGGGGAGGTACACAGAATAAATCTAGATCAAACTTAATCTTTTGTATTTTGTCATAGATCTAAATATCAAAATTGTAAACATACCTTAATTCTAATAATCAATTATTAGAAACCAGAGATAAGAGATATAGTTTAAAGCGAGAAATCTAAAGGTGTGACGTTCTCTTCATTGTGACGTCTTGATAATCCAGTAAACGTCACAAAGTCTGCTCCACGGGGGCTGGGTAGAATGTTTAAATCCCCTTAGCATGAATATTGTTCCATTAGAAAACATACTTTGGGACTACTAGTATGGGAATAGGTCCTCGGATTCAGACAGGACACATTTCTGTAAAGAAAAATGAACTGAGACGCCCACCCGACTATTCAAAACTCACTGTAAAACGGCCATTGGCTTTCTTATTGCCAGATTTTTATTAAGTATTTTAGTTTACATACATTTATTTCATCACGGTTGGAAAAAAAGGGCACTTTTTAAAAGAAAATAATATACATTTAACAAGGGCGAAATGGCATAAATAGTTATTTTTACTCTGTGGCATTATGAATATGATTTCTTCAGCACCTTATTTGGGACTTTTCTTTTTATAAGCCAATATTTGACGTAGGGGTGTATATTCTATTCACACCTGTACTTCCTTTGTTTATTCGTTAAAATAATCTACCGGTTAGTTTTTAAATATATATATTTTTCAAATTGTTCGATTAGTTATAAAGCCTATCGTAATTATATGCGGAGTTTCTGCACCTGTCACGGGACTTTAGGGGAGAGATCGGGAGAATTTTCGCGCAAACTAACCGGAATAGTTCAGCTCATATATAGCTACGAGAATAAGCCCTATCAACGGTAACATCAATGTGTCATTGAAATCTATTACATACAGAAATTATTCTAGTCCTACGAATGAAATGACTTTACAATTCTTCAGAAAATTGCTGTTGGTGGTTGCTATGGTTATCACTTCAAATACCGATATCTGTACAGGTATGAAATCTCAGTCATTAGAAATTATTTTAGCTGGATGTAAATGTTACCTTTTTTTTAAAACAGAGGCTAGTTCTGATTCAGCTTGTTTAAGAAGAATCTAAAAACAGAATTTTTCTCAGATGAAATGAAATGAGATTTATCATCCTAACCTGGGCTAATGAAGATGGGCATACGCCATACAGTGCGCTAGAAGTGAAATTTTGCCCGAATGCGGCGCTACGGCTTACTCTTATATCGAATTCCACCTGCCAAGGGATCTTTTACGTGCACGTAAATGTGTACACGGGACCTGATTTTTCCATACCATCCTAATAATTATACGTTGTTCCTTGCTAGGTCCTCGGTCCTGCACCACTGACGGAAGGAACCATGGCGGAACTTCCCGATAAACTTTCTCGGTCAACGCACGGATCTAGCACCTATCCTCCGGGTTAGCAAGTCAACGTCTTACTCGCTGAGCCACCGTTGCTCCTAATTGTTCTGAGACGTTTTCATTTGATTTTAAAAAATCTATTTTTTTTACAATTTTTTTTTATATTTATTTACCTTTTTGTATATATAGTTTTTTTTATGTATATTTATAATCATACATTCGGTTAGCAGAAGCACACGGAGCAGCTTTACACAGGCTGGATTTTGGTGTCAAACAAGTTCAATAAATTGTTATTATACTATTCAAAAAAAGTAGGGGATATTTGATTTTTAAGTGTTATTAAAGTCACCTAATGAAACTGACGAAGAAACAAATGACAAAATGAAATGAAGTTCACATTCATCGATTTATTCCAAATGATCGTTAGACTAAGTAAGGCACAGACTGACCATTATAAGGGTAAAATGATACCCGGGGTCAAACAGCAAAGTTACCACAGCATCACAACCAAGTCAGTAACGGGTAAATCCTCCTCTGTTTGCCAAACAAGCATTGATCCGACGTGGCATACTCCTAATGAGACGTCTAAGGTCATTTTGGTCCAGATTGTCCCATTCCTGTTGCAACGCAGCAGCAAGTTCTTGGACATTGGCAGGACGTTGTTGACGTTGACGTAACCTCTGTCCAAGCATGTCCCAGACATGCTCGATGGGGGAGAGGTCGGGACTCAGTGCTGGCCAAGGTAATGTGGTGATGTTCTGTTGTTGGAGGTAACCTGTAACGATCCTGGCCCTGTGACATCTTGCGTTGTCATCCTGGAAGATGAAACGGCGGCCATGACGTCGTGCGAACGGCACAACATGGACTGCCAAGATGTTGTCCCGGTAGTACTGGCCTGTAACACGCCCTGCAACAACATGTAAAGCCGTTCTTCCAGCAACAGTGATGCCTCCCCACACCATAACAGAACCACCCCCAAATCGATCATGTCTGATGACGTTAACGTCTTGGAAGCGCTCGTTTCGACGACGCCACACCCTCCTACGTCTGTCCAAAAAATCAACAGTGAACCTTGACTCATCTGAAAACATCACATTGCTCCAGCGTCGATTATCCCAGTGTTGACGATCCCTACACCAACGACGTCTTGCCTGAATGTGATGATCTCTCAAACAAGGGATCACGCGAGGACGTCGGGCGCGAAGGTGACCCCTATGCAGTCGATTCCGAATCGTCTGGCCACTCACTCTCACACCAGTGTCTGTTTGAAGACGAGCGCTGATCTGATTTGCTGTGATGACACGATTTCTCAAGGCCAAGGTACGGATAAATCGATCCTGGGCTTGAGTTGTCGCCCTTGGTCGACCTGAGCGTGGTCTGTCCTGTACAGATTGTGTATCACGGTATCTGGACCAAAGCCTGCTTATGACAGACTGAGAAACATTCATCGTCCGCGCCACAACCGCCTGTGTTGTGCCGATCTGTAGCATGCCAAGGGCACGTAACCTTTCATTTTGGGTAAGCCGACGCATATCAAAATTTGTTTTCTGGTCACTAAAACAATTAAACTGATGTTTCCACCCTGGAATTCAATGCCACAATGACTGTAACATTCAAAGTCAGAGTCGTGCAAATCTTGGGTTGGACCCCCATGATGATCCCAAGCATCACCTGCATTCCATGCGGTAGCTATTGGTGCGTTTGGGCGTCACATGTAACTGGAAATGTTTCTTCTGTTAGGTTCTATAGTGACTTTTTTCGTAGTCATTTGCATATTTTAGTATAATGCCCCCAAAATCAAATATCCCCTACTTTTTTTGAATAGTATATATTGTTTTTGTTGTATTCAACTCTCTACATCCTTTCACGTTTGTGGTGGTGAGCCGGACAGAGAGAAAAGAAATAATATTAAAGTCAATGGGAGAAAATTTGGTTGTGGGCCTCCATTGTACCAATCTGATTAAAATACAGATCTATATTTCGTTTCGTTATTTTACACTTTTGATGGCCTACACTACATGAAGATCTGACAAGTTGTACTCGAAGGTCGTTTCAGGGGTCTACGATCGGCTTTTGACCTTATAACGTCAGACATTGATTAATCAATCAGCGTTGGCGTTTCTAGTGGTTTACCCACAGTTCCGTGCATGGCAGGCCAAGAAGTCGCCGTAACAGACTGTTTCATTGGCTTATCCTTCACTTCAACCAAAACACTGGTAATATAACAACTTTTTCAGACCCTAGTGTAGTAAAGACAAAAAAAACGAAATTTTGAACTATATAAAAATCGAAACGAAATAGGACCTGTGCTTTAATCAGATTGATTTTGTACAAGAACCAAGGGAAATGAAGAGTTTTTCTCCTTTAGTCTTCAGCATCGACACCACTTTAACAACCGATCCCAGAAAATGGTTTCATCTTATCATTACCATATGGATCACTGTTAGGGTTCTTGGGTGAAAATGGGGATCAATCTAAGCAATATTCAAGCATTTTTCATTGAAAAGTCACACAGCAACGAAAACGTGTTTTTAAAATCACAAACAGTCTGGTACCTCTTCTCTATACAATTGAAAGAAATCAACAATTTCTATATTTAAATGATTTATTATGAATGTGTTTAGAGTAACTTGTATATAACAATAATATAGCATGATTGAAGTCTTTTAGACATTAATATATATAACAGATACAACCATTCACATTTAAACTCACATTATCAAACTTTATTTACAAAATGTGTAAAAAGATATTAAAAAAAATATAGATAAGTGTTAACAGATTAGTTTTCCTTCTTTTAATAAAGAAGAATTAGTATGGATTACATTAAAGAGCATTATAAGATAATTTTGTTTTATAAGCTTATAGATACATTTGTATGACCATGTTAAAATACGCAAAAGGGATAATCTCTTAAAGACAAAGAAATAGATCATGATTAGGCTTACATAGAATGAAATTAATATTTATAATGCATTGTTATATACATTATGGAATAAACAAATACCTATCCAATTAATATCTATTTGGATTCTTATATATTAACATTTCTTCAATAAAACATTAGCATGCCCCTTTACATTTTCAAATATTAACCCTTTGGCATGTAAATATTGACTACACAGTTTCTTGAAAAAAAAACAATAATATATTAATACTAGTACATCCCTTGACAGACAGAAGAAAACAACTGTTCCTTTGACAGTGTCAAACTTATGAGATATATGAATAGCTTATCATATTATATGAACATTTACTCATTCTTAGGGACACCACATCTGTGCAAGTGACAGGGCTGTCTAAGGATCCCCTGTAACGACAGTTTTAGGAGGACTAAAGATTGTGTCACATGTCAATATATATTAACCCTTCTTTTTTCTTTGAGTACACCACCCACTGAATAAAATATTAACTATAAAAGAAATGTACATTACAACATTTAAATAAATACATACAGAAATAAATATGATCTGATCATCTAAGTTAAGATCTGTCATCATTTAATAGAAGCAAGGTCAACTATTTCAAGTCATTTGACATGGTTTTGTAAGGTCACTGATATCTTTTCGCTTTTAATATTCATCGAAACTACCATGGGTATGCAGAATCAATTGATTTCATCCATGATCCTGTACATCATGAAAACATTAAAATAAAGTTCATTTTTCTGATTGATATTTAACAAAATAATAATATTTAGATTATATAATAAATGACAGAGAAAACAAATTTAAACATAAAAAATCATAATTTACATAACATTAATTATCAAACTTTTTTCATATCAAGTTACTGTTTAATATTATTCTTTTTTATAAAAGTACAGTTAGCTTACACAAGATGAAAATAAACATGAATATTTCCTATGTTTCTTTACAGGTTCTTTGATTTTTAAATATGAACACGGTTTGATGATTATGTATAATTTTTACATTATTTCTATCGCAATAAAATGAGAGACTCTGTTTTATTCCATCAGGAATCTTGTGGTACAGCATGTGTAGAATTGTCATAACCACATATGTATCTAACAAAATGTAGCATCATCATCAAATGTCCGGGCAGGAACAAACAGGAAGTGTAGAAAAACATGGCTAGTACTGCAACTAAAATGGTATCTTTAACAATGTTAAGAAAGAAATAACATAAAAATGGAAGACTTTCTTTGATTTGGTTTTAAAAAAATAGGATTATACATTTTAATGGATATGTTGATGCTGTGTTGAAAATGTTAACATTAATAATTAAAGCTGGTGTTGTCTTCCACTACCATGGTAGTAATTAAGCAGATATCCACTTAATCTATCTAAAAACGATTTTACCCAAAGAGCTTGTCTTATCATTAAACATACTTAAAATACAGATGTGACGTCATCCTTTGATGTTGGAGTACTATTATTTCAAATAATCGTAAGGACAATGTGCCAAGCGTAACTTGGTAAAATATTGAACTCGAGTGACGTATTTCATTGCAAAGCACGTGCAAGTGTCTGTATTTTAAGTTGTTTCATGGTCTCGAGCTTAAGACATTGCGTAATATATTGTAAAAACATTCGGGCCTCACGGCCCTCATGTTGTTACAATATATTACTTAATGTTTCGCTCTCGACCATTAAACAATACATAATGCAAGAGCTAAATCTGCCTATTGCTCTGGAGTTAATATCAGGGACACTTTTCATTTTCACCTGATCAACATGCATGGTTGTGTTTTGGTGCAGCCCAGTCCCTATACCAAATTTCACATAACAGATAGGTTAATGAAGGGACTGAGTGATACAGGCTGTTACTAACAAAAACAAAATGGAATTCCTTTGACATCATTTCGTGTTACTTCCGATCCGACGAAGTTGATCATCGCCAAGTGATAGCACATCAGGTTTGACTTATAATTAATAACGCTGTAAAATGACCAATTTAATTACATTATAGGGTGTATAATGATCAAATAAAGTCTTCTTGTCAATAAAAATGACGGTAAGTGTTAGAACTAGTGAGTATTGTGAAATGATAGCAGATGAAATGTCTTCAACTAGTCAAAACAATATGGTGGCTGATACATTTTGTTGTTATTGTAGTATATAGTCAAGCAGTAGTAAGAAGTTTTATCTTAATCCCTTCAATTGCCTATGTACTTTCCATTGAATCCATTAAGGCTTGTACATGTATCTACTATTATAGGATACGTCTTTACCATACTTCCAATATTTCCACATGTTATCGTATGGAGTAACCAGTCATGTCTCTTTCACCTTCTATTTAGGCTATGCCTATTGGATCAATTCTAATTTACCTACAATAACTCAATCTCACTCAGTTCAGTGAAATTAGGAGTTCACAACCTATGTTTCGTTTGATTTGTTATTTGACTTTCTTAGAAAATTAGATAACACACCTTATCTCTCAACCCTCTGTGTTTCGAGATAAGAGATGATGCTATTACCTTCAATGTAAGCACATGCGAGAGGGATTCGCACCCGGCATTTGTAAACAAAATTGACAATATTTTTAATCAAAACAACGATTGGTTATTGTTATTTATAATATTTCTGCCACACCCAACTACAATTAAGCATATAATCCTACCTGAAACAGGTACAAATCCCCTCTTTTTAAATCAAAGCGACAGTAGATTGCTTTTTCCGACATTTTAAATTTACGTCTGTAACACATAAAGGCGGGGCCTCGTGTGCAATAGCCAATCAAAGTACACATCTGATCAGAGTTGCGCAGTAGTAATACAGCGTAATTATGAACGTCCGAATCAATTTTGGTAAAAACAACGCTTGATTTACTTTATTGTCAATATTTGCTGATAAATGAATGTTGTTTCAGTAGATTGGACTGCCTATGTCTGTGTAATATTAGTAATAAGTACTAATAGTATAAAATTAACTTATTTTTAAGATGGTACATATATTAATAAAGAAATTGAGTTTGCCACTTGGAACTAAGGCATCCAATCGTAGCTAAAAACAAACACATCAGTATATCTCAGCGTTTTTAGTTACGTTCTCGTAGCTATTACTTTAACTTAGAAAATAAAATATGCAACTTTAGATATCTACATTTACAACTTCAAAAGGATACTAAATATTCTTCTTTCTGTTGGTTCCAACATGTAAAGTGAGGTTACTAACGTATACTGGAAATACCAGAAGGAAATGTAGCTCCAGATCGTCTTCAAAACCATGTTTGTTTGTTGGTAAACGAGGAATGCCTCTAGTCTTTTCGGTGTTTTCTTCTGGTTAGTCACCAATGCAACCGGAAATGCATGTTTTGTCAAGAAGGGGAGATAACTAAACGCTTTTGGGAGTTATTTCCCTTTATCTATGGTAACTTCAATCTAAACATTTTAAAACACTAATATTAGTGTAATATTATTCATTTTAATCCTTAAAGATAATTCCTACTAAGAAAGAATATTGTCATACTATACAAACTCTCTAAAAATATTTAACTAAAAACTTATGTTTTTTTCTTAACGTAAAAAGTCATGTTAGCGAATCGAAGTTAAATTCGATATGACGCACCCTTTAGAGTTAGCTGTTAGGCCTAAATAATATTTTTAATATTTTTATCTTAAATTCGAATACTAATTAAGATCTAGATTGGGATATGATTAACAGTTATTGCATTCACTCAATATTTCCAAGCGCTAATCTGGAGCATCTCGTTATTCCAGCGTTTTATATTTTCCCGCCAAAATGATAATATTAATTACGTGTTTAACAACTTTTCAGGAAAAGTCGCCTCCTCGGCTCCACACAACAATTATTGTGTCATAGCCCCTAAATAATAAAAATGAAAAAAGAAACAATAACAACAAAGAAATATTTTAACTGGTGAATGGTGGTGTCGTTAAACGTGGAGACAAAAGTGTTTCAGTTCGGATCAAATTATATGTGTGTGCGTTCAGGGTAGTTGATACTGCAGATATCACTTAATCGTGGACATACAATAGTATCCAATTACATTTCTAAAAAAGAAATATGAATATGTCGGTTAGAAGTAGATAAGACAGATCTATCTATTAACTTATTTTCAGCTTATCTGTACAAGCAGAAGACAGCCTTGACCTAGCGCGACATTGACCTCCCACGATTTTATTCAGTGCGACACGACGCTGTGAAGAATTGTCAAGTGACAATTTGTTTTGCTACAGAATTTTGCAATATCGCAACAGTTAAAATGGGGAACGATGGTTTATTTCTTGGATTCGATTTTAGCACGCAACAGGTATACACTTTCAGCTTTCGTGCTATATATTTTGGCTTTTGTTTGAGTTGTCTTCTGTATGGGACCTGGTCGATCAGAACGATATCGGATATGGCTGATGAAATGTCGCATCAACGTAGCTGCATATTGGCAATATTTATTAACTTGCGATTTTTTGTGATTACGGCATGATATGACAGGGTGCCTCTGACATATAAATGATTAAATGCAACTAGGCTTGGAAAGTAAAAGTTTATTTACCGATCAATCAAAGAGAGACAACTCCTTTTTATCATTATTTTCATTGTTAATTAATCTGAAAGTAGGGGGTGGGGGTGGGGCTCAGAAATTTGAATAAAATACTTTTAATGTTCGTATTACGGAAACTTAATTTCTTTTCATGTCTATTCTCTATCCATTATTCTTTATGATTTCATGCGTACTCGATTTAATGGAGTTATCTCCCTTATACCACAAAGCCCCCCCCCCCCCTCCAACTCTTGCAAGGGCTGCTTTCCTGCTGTCATATTAATATAAAAGATAGAAACTATTTGTTTTATTATCAAATAGATAAAACAGTTTCTTTTTTAAAAAAAATAATAAGGCTTATCAATTTTATTGTTATTATATTAATTATATGTCACTTTATTAATTGTTGTTAAGGTGAAAGTTATTGCAGTCAATGATAGTCTACAAGTTAAATATGAATGTGCTGTTAAGTTTGATACAGACTTATCAAAATACAAGTAAGTCAATAGTTATATATGTACTTTCACTGTAGTAGGCCTAAGACAACACCTACCATTCCCGTGCCTATACCCACCAAATGGTTGGGTGCAAAATTCAGCAGCAAGACTGATCACACGCACGAAATATAATGAGCATATAAACCCAATTTTATTTGAACTGCACTGGTTGCCTATTGTTTTTAGAATTAAATATAAAATACTTTTATTGACTTTGAAATGTTTTAATGGTATGGCTCCCTTTTACTTGTCCTGTCTTTTGGATATTTATAAACCTTCTTGAACATTACGGTCATCCAGAGATAAAGTTTTATAAACGGGAAAAAAAGCCAACCTTTCAAGTTATGGAGAGCAATCGTTTTCGTTTCAAGCACCAAAGCAGTGGAATCTCTTGCCTTTTAGTATCCGCAGTTGTACCTCTTTAACAACTTTTAAATCTAAACTTAAAACGTTATTATTCCAAGAGGCTTTTAATTGTTGAATTAGTCTTAAATCTTCACCATATGTATTTTATAGATATATATTTATTTTTGTCCTGATTTTATAGATATTTAGTTTCTTATTGTTTCTATAATTATTATTTTTTACTGATTTTCTATTTTCTATACATGTAATTATTGTAAAGCACACCTGAACACGTATGTGGAAGATAGCGCTATATAAGTGTTGTATAATAAGATAATAATAATAATAAACTAAAGTACCATTACATGAAAAAATAAACATTTTAAAACAAAAAACAAATACCATGGTTTAATCTAAAGTTGTTTTTCTACTTCTTTGTCTCCATTTTTTCACAATTTTACCCAGATAGGTAAACACCGTAATATGAGATGAATGGGTTTTTTTTGTTGCAGTACTCAAGGAGGAGCCCATGTTAGCAGTGATAAGAGTACGGTAACAGCTCCTACTATAATGTGGATTGAGGTAACACAAATTAAAGATACATTATGAGCGATTAGATAAAGAGCTGGCAGTTCTCACTATAATAGTTAAAAACTAGATAATGCAAAGGCAATTTGCTGAAAATTTCAGTCAAAATGATCCACTCTGAACTGAGAATTTAGTGACTGAATTGTTGATCATCATTACTAAAGTCAGAACGATAAAAAACATAGTCTCGAATATCCATTTCATGATTTAATCATGAATGAAAGTTGAGCAGCAAATCGGATCCTAATCCAGTAAATATTACAGACTAACAATGACATCAAGAGTTCATTATGGTCTGGATAAGTTAATTAATGTCTAATTAAACAATTTAGATAACATTTCAGGCCTAGAGAAAGACCTCCAATAGGCAGATTTAGCTCTTGCATAATGTATGTTTAAATGATATGTATTGATTCATTATATAATTTCTTCACAAGAAATTAACAGTTTACAGAAGATAAATGCAGTCTATGTTACTATTCCTTGAATTGTTCGAATTTTTGACGTTTACTAATAACTGGTTATTAGAAAAAATTATTGCTCGAATTGTTTGAAGTTTTGATGTTTGTAAAAACTGGTTATTAGAAAAAATAATAAATATTTTAGTCTATTGTTAGTGATTAGTTTTACTATTTATATGTGATATTATTTTACTGATACTTATGGAAATAATAAGTTAATATATTTTTCTATTCGAAGGCTTTAGATATGGTGTTGGATAAAATGAAAAAAGACAGTTTCCCATTTGAGAAAGTTTTAGCGATTTCTGGATCTGGTCAGGTATGTTGAATGTAAAAATTTTGTAAATTCTTTCACCAAATGATTTTTTCATTTTATTTATGACTTCATATTATGATCAAGCGAATGCAGATTGTTTTTAGTGGTAAGTGGAGTGTTAGCAACCAGTATAAAATATGATATTTTTCTTTACTTATTCCCAATGTTGAGAAACATTTTAAATAACTTTAGGAAATAATGAAAGGTTATCTTTTAGTTTATATGTAGATCAGAAAAATAAAAATTGTATATTTTCAGCAACATGGAAGTGTATATTGGAAAACAGGAGCCCAGAATACTTTAAAAAACCTAAATTCTGCAGAAAACCTTAAAGAACAGTTGAAAGTAAAGGACTTTTGCATAACCAAATCCAAATGTTTTCTTTTGATACAATGAAAATTAGTTCCCTTTAATTTTTCTGGTAATATTTTTTTCTCGGGAAGTTTTGGTAAATCTGATTGTAAAGGTCAAATTCTTATTTTGCCAAATATATTTTTACAGTAGTCAAATCAGGAATTTCGTAATGATCCTATTTTACAATCCTGGCTGACGGCTGACTATAGTTTGGTCAATTTATATTTCATAGAATTGGGTATTTTTAAGGATTAAATCTGAAAAGCACCATTATTAAAAGAAAGCAATACACGATCTGTAAGGGAACTAGATTCTCGACTATAATGTCCCTATTCGAGCCATAAGGCATTTTTATCCACTTGCCAAATCAAATTGTATTTAGTGGATATGTCATGTGACAGTAAAGTTGATTTCAAAGTACTTTGACAAGTTTGTTGAATGCGCCAATTGGCTGAAAAGAAACATGTGATCACCCAATCAAATTGTTAGATTGCACTTGGCAATTTGTGGTCATTGCTTCAGAAATAGGTGTCGATAAATTTGTCGATTAGGGTAATCAATTTGAATTAGATGGACATTGATGAAAATTTGATTGAATGCAAATCACTTTGGCTAATCAGTGGTCGATAAAAACACCTTAGTGCAGTGTTGCCTAGTCATTCCGATGTGATGAAATTCAACTCCCTGTCATTGTACATGTGACCACACAAAAACATAAAATGTATGTTACTCTGAAAATGACTGAAATATTGTCTTGATGGGATGTTAAACCCATTTCTATTGAAAATGACTGAAATATTGTCTTGATTTCTGGCCAAATTTTGGTACGCAAAATACACAGTGAGTGAGAGCCTAGACTCAACAATAGACTGGATTTTTATATTTTAGGAATCATTTAGTGTAGGTGATTCACCAATATGGATGGATTCCAGTACAACTAGGCAATGTCAAGATTTAGAAAAAGCTATGGGTGGAGCTCAGGTAGGTGTATAAAGACAAATTGCCCTTAAATTAAGGGTGGTGGGGTGGTGTTGGGGAGATTGAGTGGTCCAATGCTTCAGCTTTAGATCATAAGGTCTGCTATTAATTCAGGTGGTGCATTTTTGAGCCCACATTTGTAAGTGACAAGGCATAGGGTCGCCTGTCCAGCCTTGTGGGTTGTTCTATATGTTAGTCCCATAATGACTTGGTTTATGTCAAGTGGATTTTAAACCCCATACATCTCCCTCTCTCTCCTAAAATTAATAAAATAGCAACATCTTAACCCTTAACCGGTCATTGTCGACTATAGTCACCACAACTTTATACAGCTAAGTGGTCACCGTCGGCTAAAGTCGAACCACAGTAAGAACCTTTTTGATGAGCCGCATTTGAGTATTTAGTTTCGTATTTATTTGATATGGCAGCGCATGTGTGTCGGACAGGAACTTGTCTTGTCAAGGGCATTGAGAAAAACATGTCTTTGTTCAACATTTTTTTTATGAAAAACATAATTTAACGATGTTGGGAACGTTAAAGACGCTCGAAGTGGTTGAAATACTTATGAATGAAACCGATTCTGAAGACGATATTTCTGGTGAAAAGGACTTAGAATGATTTGCAAATTATAGATGAACTTATCCCCTTCAACTTTTTTATTGATGTCAAGAGTCTATCACTTATAATTATTCGACAGTAGTCGATTGAAATAGGCATACAAAATATTTGATGTCAGCCTTTATTTAGCCTGACCACTTGACGTCATGATGTCAAAATGACATCGACCGGTTAAGGGTTAAGTAATTGAATTTATTCATATACTCTTTGTTTGAGCAAATATTATATTATAAACGTGTATATAAATTACAAAGAAATAAAGGAGAAAAAATACAATTCTCAGATCTCAGAAGAATACTTCAAGAGTTCTTCAATGAGTATCTGTTGAAAATTAATAGTCTCTCAAATAAAATACTCAAATTTGAGAAATTAGAGAGGATTTAGTTGATATTTGATTTACTTTTCTTTTCTAGAATGTAGCAAATATCACAGGTTCAAGAGCTTATGAGAGATTTACTGGAAATCAGATTGCTAAAATTTATCAAACTAAACCTGATGCTTATAGTGAGACAGAGGTATGTGTATAATTTTGAGTTATTGGTTAATCTAGCATCATAGAAATATTTATTGAGAACTCTGATAAAACTCATCTTCAGATGGTATAAAGAGCAATAGCAATGAAATTATTTTGTTAATTTCAAAATCAGCGGCATGGATAAGATTAAGTGTAAGGGGGTGCGGATAGTATACCTTTTGAGGAGTGGCAATTTTGATCTACATCATTGAAAAACTGGGGGGGTCATAGTGGGTAAGACGCTGGCTCACTAGCCTGGAGGTCAGGTGTTTGATCCCTGCATTTGCCAAGAACGTTCATCCAGATTTTCCGGCGTAGTTCCCCCTTATCAGTGATGCAGGATGGAGGGCCTGACGAGGACAGCTGTCTAGTCGTTCGGATGGTATGAAAAACCAAGGTTCCGTGTACACATTGGCGTGCACGTAATAGATCCCTTTTATTTGTTATGCCACATCTATTGTATTATATTTTTCATGAAGGGCAGGGTGGTAGAAAGGCTCCCACAGCCTAATCCTTTACCCTTCTTAAATAAAGATATTATTATTATTATTATTGACAGTTTGAATTCGATATAAGATAAGGCCTTACTGTTCTGCTCCTATACTGGGCTAATGAAGATGGGCATACGCCATACAGTGTGCTATGAGGGAAATTTTGCCCGGGCAGCGGCACTATCGCTTTCTCTTATATCGAATTCCAACTGCCAAGGGATCTTTTACGTGCATTCCAATGTATACACGGGACCTCGGTTTTTCGTCTCATCCGAAGGACAAGACAGCTGTCCTTGTCAGGCCCTCCGTTCTGCACCACTGACAAGGGGAAACCATGGAAAATCCTGATGAACTTTCTCAGTCAATGCAGGGATCGAACACTGTCTTCTACTAATGAGCGTCTTTATATGAACAAGTAGTATACTTCGATAATTCATATCTTTCAGCGTATTTCGTTAGTTAGTAGTTTCGCTGCCTGTTTACTTTTGGGAGATTATGCACCTATCGATACGAGTGATGGATCAGGAATGAATTTAATGAATATCAAAACGCTTGATTGGTCAGATGAATGTTTAAAGGTAAGGAAAGTATACTTATTTGTAGAATCGGTGATTAATTTGAGCAGCAGATGCCAGAGGAGACCTCTGGCGGCGTGAACTCCTGCCATAATGAATATTGCTTGACAAGGAGGATTGTCTCCTTTATTAAAGTATGGAAATGTATACGAGATTTCATTAATGAATTAGTTTTTGATGTTTGATGATTGGTTGTCTCTATATGTCTTTACCAATACCAATTGTCCTGTGTCACCAGTTGCATTCAATCTCTGTACATGTAGACGTCATTAAAAATAGTATGCTGAAAGGTCAAATTCTTTTGTATGGCAGTGTATAACAGTAACAATGTGGAAGGCTTTGATGGTGGTTTGGTGACATTGTCAGCAGACCGTAATAATGCAATCAATTGTCTCATGATATTGAAATCAAATTACTCTGTTTTTTTCTAGGCATGTGCACCTAATTTACGAGAGAAATTGGGTCCAGTTGTTCCTTCTACAACTAATATTGTAAGTTATACTATCTACTGTATTGTATGACCTAACATCTCCCTACTTCTTAGAATTGATTAAATATATAGATGGATAGAACAATTGCGTAAGTAAGGGGAGATAAAGAGAAATGGAGTTTAATGTCCACTCAACACTACTAGGTTAACTAATGTGTGGGATGGTTTTATTTAAATGATAATTTCTAGTAGTAGTTTCTATCAAATGTTTAACATTGTGGGTTATAAAGACCAATATACATTAGCAGTGTATTCCATATCATTGAATATACATATAACTTTTACTTTATAATACACACTGTTTAATAGTGGGTATTATAAAACCAATCAATAGGGTATTATCAGTGGTGTAGTCATTGAATATACATGTAATACATGATTTATAATACACATTATTATGGAGACCAGTACATGTATGTGTATGACTGTACTGTAGTATATTGAATTTGCCTGTAAACCCAAGCTTTACAAAACACTGTGTTGAAAAGTTAATTTAGTTAAAGCGAGAATTTCAAATTTTCTAAGAAAGTCAAAACATAATTATTTCTATGTCCTTTGCTCAATAGGTTATCAAATCACTATTATACGATCATGGGCATTATTTCCCACCCTTAAAAATGTATGACACAGGAAATAACACAATTACCTCCCCTGTTTTGCTATTGACAACATGGGGCAGCCATTTTCCAACGTTGGAATTTGAAGTTAAAAATGATATTTTTGCCAATTTCTCAGCTGGCAATAGCGAATTATGGGATTAATAGGATTATTCTTTAACAAGGTAGGACTGTTTATGGATACCATCTATTTTAAGGCTTTATTTTAATACATTTTAAAAATATAACTTGAAACTTTGCAATTTCCGCTTTAAGTCAGATGATATATACCGCATCTTGTCTATAAAAACACTTTGATTAAAGAGAGATTTATATCGTCGGTGGGGAGTCAAAAGGTCGTATCTGGATTTTGCGAAATTGTCCAGAAGAGCCAAGTCAAAATGTTGTATGTAAAATGTCGTATTTCTGAAGCTTTTTTTAAAGGACAATATTGGTGTCAGTTATTATAAAATATGTGATAGAACTGGTTAAATACATCCCAAATATAATTTTAACACAGAGATCATTGCTACGGGAGATGTGTAACAAGCATGTGAAGAAACGAGAAGTGACGACAAACATGACAAACAAGAGTTATCCTTCTATATAACTAACTGAAGTAACGAGCGATACTTGACTGATAATTCTGTTGAAGATGAAAAGTTATTATATGAGAGAGAGAGAAATGGGGTTTAACGTCCACTTGACACAAACTAGGTCATTTTGGGACTAACATAGGGGTCTTTAGCAGTGGGAGGAAAGTTATTATATGAGAAGGTGAGAGGATATCTGACAATTCAAAAAAAGAATTGGCTGTCAGCGAAGACGTATCTCAGGAAAATATTCAACTTTACCTGCTTCAATTTCATAGAATTCACACAGTAGACGCTCAACAATTATTTCTATAATACATATTTAGCTATAAAACAATACTGGCTACATTTCGTTTGATTGTAATACTTTGGTTAGACACAAAGTTGATTTTTTTTTTTAAAAGAGCTGAACTTTAAACATCATGACAATGGGATTTTTTGTTTTCAATAGTCAACCATCTTTGATTCTCTTTGAAATCTGAACCCTCTTTATTTTCATGGTAAAATATCAAAGTATTATGGGGTGTTCTGGTTTCAGTAGTCAAGTTATATTTATAGCACGGCTTTCATGAGTTAACAGGTTTAACCAGAGGCCAAGGGATTAAACCTGTTAACGAATGAAGCGTGCTATAAATGACTTGTAACATTGACAACTGCTCAACATGCTTATTGTTATTGCACAGAAAACCCACCCCACTTCTCTATATGATTTCTACTAAAACTAGTGTAAACCAGCAAAAGTGTGCAATAACATTGAACTTGTCTAGTTATTGCACGGTTAAGCTCCACCCAATCTACAAGAGGGAAAACAATCTGCTTATTCAAAGAAAAGAACAAAGGAAGATTTTCAATCCATGTTACAAGCATCTTTGATTCTCTCTTTATTTTCAGGGTAAAATATCAAAGTATTATGTATCTAAATATGGTTTTAAGTCAGATTGTTTGTTGACAGCCTTTACAGGAGATAACCCATGTAAGTATCTAAATATTGTAATAAAATGAGATATTATTGATTTCTGATATTAATAACAAAATATATGGCTACACCAGATGGCCTAACAGACTAAAAAATTGAATTTTTGTAATTTGCACTTAAAGTTAGTAATATCCAAACACTATGGGTCAATTTTCCTCATTTCGGAATTGGGAGGGGGGGGGTGGATGGCCGAATGGTTTTAGCATGTGCGCACTGTATCATGAGGTCTGTCTTTGATTGAACTGGCTTGGTTTCGGTTTTGATTCCCCATTACCTTAAACCCCCCCTCCTCTCTCTCTCTCTCTCTCTCTCTCTCTCTCCTTTCTAAATGATGCTAAATTTTTTGGGAAATTTTAAAACATGTTCTGGGTAGCAAAAGTCCTGATGCCACAATGCAAATAACAAGTAATAATGTCTTTTGAAGCATCCCAAGTATGACATAGATTAGACATGATATCAGGTGTGCTATAATGAGTAAGCATATTCTGTAAATATAGCTTGTCGCTAATCTGTTTTACCTGTTTTACCTGTTTTAGGAAAGAGATCTATTTTTATTACCTGCCTTCCTGAGGAGATTTCACAGCAGTTTTTGGACTGTAATAGCGATGAGGTTACTGGAATCAAATTGGCATTTCGATGTCTTTATTTAGTGACAGTGTTAAAATGTATGTTTTATTATTTCAGCATCATTAGCTGGTATAGCACCAAGTCAAGGTGATATAATAGTAAGTTGCTATACAGTTATGTTAGTGATTCAAACTTTTAAAAGAAATCATGCTCAGCATTAAACTTTAATTTAATCTTTCATCTTCAGCAATTTTCAAACACAAAATCAAATTTCTGAGTAAGAGCAGAAGGACCTTACCCTGACTTTCAGGAACTTTCAAATTAATGAGATTTAATAAAGAATTTAATATTGTAATATTGCCGGAATTAGTTGGTTCCTGCGATAGAATTGTTGTTTGTCTTTATCCTGTTTTGTTGAATAAAGTGGAATGCTACCAAGACAATGTTAAAGATACCGTTACAGTATCTATTTATTTTATATTTATTACTTCAGTTAAGTTTAGGAACCAGTGATGTATTATTTCTGTGGATAACAGAACCACACCCAGCGCTTTGTGGTCATATATTTGGTAACCCTGTTGATACATCAGCATATATGGCTCTATTATGGTCAGTATAAAAATTTTGTATTTACGCATTAATTGAATTTTCATACAGTTTCACTGTGATTGTTGTACATACATGTCCCTCACTCGGCAAACTTCAGCAGACTCCAGTACCCTACATCCAGCCTCGGTTGTATGACGAAGTCCACCATTGGAACTACTTGCAAGTTCCCTGATTAACAACGGCATCACCCTTGACGACACATTTGAAGAATGTTTTATCATACAAAGCTTTCAAAGTCTGAACTCTGAAGCTGTTTTTCTTTCAAGTTTATCCAATTTTCTTTAAACAAGGACAACTTTACACTGAAAATTCTACCCACTCTTCGACACAATTTTGAGAACCTTTTTCTAAAAGTGTCCTATTTTCCTAATAAGATATAGAGTACCGGAAATTGCTGAGTTTTGCAGAGTGACAAGTCCCTACAAAAAGTATAATATAGTACATTTTCCGAGAATTTGTGTTATCTCAACTGCAATCCCTCAGACAATGTCCAGGAAAAAGTTTATTGTTATTTTTATGAGCAATTTACATATTTACAATGCCTTTTGAACCAAAGCTTAATGTATTTACTACTTATGAAAAATGATATCATGAAATGAACCATATCATAGTTTCCATCACAAATTTTTAGAAAATCCTTTTCTTGAAATGAACCATTTTATCATCAAATTACATATTTGTAAAGAATTTTAAACCAAACCATTTTAATTTTACTGCTTTCGATAAACCACTTTCTTGAAATGAACCATACTATGATACTTTCCATTATAAAATATTGGAAACCCTATTTTTATAAAATGAACCATTTTATCATTAAATTAACATAGATTCTGTTTATTATTTTTTCCAGTTTTAAAAATAGTTCCTTAACACGAGAACGAATCTGTAATGAATTAGCAGATAAATCGTGGGATACTTTTTCTAAAAGTTTAGAATCTACAAAAATGGGAAATAATGGCAATATAGGTAAACAACATTCACACTAGTACATGTAATGTTTGCCAATCTGATTAAAATACAGATCTATAGTTTGTTTCGTTTTTTATACTTTCGATGGCCTACACTACATGAAGATCTGACTAGTTGTAGTGATAGATCGTGTCAGAGGTCATACAAGCAGCTTTTCACCCTATGACGTCAGACATTTGATTAACCAATCAGCATTGATGTTTCTAATGGATTACCCACAGTTTCTTGCAAAACACGCCTAAAGCTCGCTGTAACAGACCGTTTCTTTGGCTAATCACTAACATCATCCAGAACACGTCAGACAAGTAAAATGAAATTTTGAACTATAAAAAACGAAATGAAATAGGATCTGTGTTTTAATCAGATCAAATGTTTGTTTGAACAAGGAAAACAAACTCTATATAAATATTTAGTTACCGGGTATATTTATGCCAGCATTGTATGAACAAGGAAAAATGGCATCTTCATCAATGTTTGCTATCAAAATGACTATTGTATGTACTGGTACAAGGAAAACTAGTTTTTTATATATTCAGTTAAAGGGGAAATGTCCTTAATTAATAGTAGAGGAAAATAGCAGCAGTCCATGATGAAATTCAGTAGAACTGGTTTTCTATATCAGAAAAATGTGATATATATAATCAGATTGATTTTGATCATCATATATATATATATATATATATATATATATATATATATACTTTTAACAGGCTTTACTAAATTAAGATTGGACCAATTGTAGTGGGAGGTCGCATTAGGGGTCATATGAGCGGCTTTTGACCCTATGACATATCAGACATTTGATTAACCAATCAGGGTTGATGTTTCTAGTAGGACACCCACAGTTCTGTGCATCGCATGCCAAAAACTCGCTGCAAACAGACTGTTTCATTGGCTAATGTCTCACATCAACTAGAACACTGGTTATATAACAATTTTTCCAGATTTTGAACTATAAAAAATAAAACGAAATAGGATCTGTGTTTTAATCAGATTAGATCAAAATGGCATTGGGGGACTCTTTTAAAAAATTGAGTGGTTCTGGCTTTTCACTTTTATTATTTATATTATAGGCATTTATTTTGATGTAATGGAGATACAACCCTTAGCAGTGGGTGTTTACAGATTTAATGACAAAAATGAACAGGTAAACCAAGTCAAGTTGAATCTTGTCTGTAGGTAATTAAAATTACTGGTAGCCGGTTCATTTATTTTAATTTCTTTTCTTACTTTGCATGTGTTTGCAGATTTATTGACAAAAATGAACAGGTAAACCGAATAGTTGAGTTGAAAACTAGTCTGTGGGTAATTCAAATTAGTCTGTTCTTTTATTTTAATGTCTTTTCTCTCTTTGCATGTCCATTTATTATTAATCTCTCGACTGTGCCTTGTTAATGGATTTCTTTACATTATTGTCCCTTGTATCTATTACAAACCATATATGATATTTTTTGTTGTCAACATTTCCACTACAAAATAGTTGTTCAATTTAATTTATTGTACTCTTCAAAACCATGTAAATACACATGTAATGTTTAATTTGTCAGGTTTCAAGTTTTGATAAAGATACAGAAATAAGAGCAGTTATCGAGTCACAGTTAATGGCTAGAAGAATTTATTCTGAAATGTTAGGTTTTAATATTGGTAAATATATTTGACCCTATATACATTCATATTTGTGTAAACTTTGACTTGGTGCAGATAAGTTGAAATCATTACCAATATATACTGAATAGTTGATTGGGATGGCTTTACAAGCCCTAAAATTTCTCATGGTCCTTAAGGTGTGCCATATGAACTTGTTCCACATTAGCGCCATCGTTGGACAAGTGCTATTAGTGATTAATGAAATGAAATGCGGTTTAACCAGTACCGGATCTAGAAGGAGGAGGGGGGTGTGTGAGGAGCAAAGTAGGACAAATGTCCCTGGCCCCCTACATTTTAGGTTCAGTACAAGATCAGAAGTACCATTGGATGAACGAGAGATTCTTGTGGTACTCGCCCAGAATATACCTCTGAATGCGCCAAATCAAATATATTTTTCAAAACTTTCTAGGTCGCTCTGGGCCCCGACTCTTTCTTTATTAATTCAGACCCTCTTCCCCTTACCTTGTCCCAGGGCCCAAACTTCTTAATTGTGCACCACCAGGTTAATGAAGATGGTTTTCTATTTTATTATGTTATAATATTTACAGGTGAGAATTGTCGTGTTATAGCTACAGGTGGAGCATCTAATAATAAAGCTTTATTACAGGTAAATATTTTAATTAAAACATATCATTATTAGTATTAGCGTTCATGATCACAGAGCTACTGTGTGAGAAATGATTGGGTAGTCTAACATGTGTCATTGAGAAGTGGTGTAGTTTGGATCCCAAGCTCATGAGTTTTTTTCTGGGTCCTCAGGTTTCCTTCTACTGCTAAAGACAACATTGTGCAAGCGACTTATGGAAATAAAACTGTAGCATGTTATGTAAAACCAAAAATATTTTCAGTGGAAGTTAAACCCCATTTCTCTCTCTTTCTATCCAATTACTAAATGCCTGTAAAGAATTATGGTCTTTCATCAATGGTTTATTTCATCAATCTTTAATTCTTCTGTTTATATAAAGGATGTGGCTAATTCATGGAGTTTAGGGGCTGTCATCCGTGCCAAATACGTTAAACCGTTAAATCCCATTTCTCTCTCTTTCTATATAGTTACTAAATAACTGTAAAGAATTATGGTTTTTCATCATTGTATTATTTTGTATTTAGGTTGTAGCAGATGTCTTTAATTCTTCTGTTTATATAAAGGATGTGGCTAATTTATCGAGTTTAGGGGCTGTCATCCGTGCCAAATACGTTAAACCGTTAAACCCCATTTCTCTCTCTTTCTATCTAGTTACTAAATACCTGTAAAGAATTATGGTTTTTCATCATTGTATTATTTTGTATTTAGGTTGTAGCAGACGTCTTTAATTCATCTGTTTATATAAAAGATGTGGCTAATTCAGCAAGTTTAGGGGCAGCCATCCGTGCCAAATACGGTTAGTTGAATTTCATTTGTGTAAAATACCTGAAGTTACATGAATAAGATTTATGAATTGTCACTGAACATTTTTTCCTCTTCTTTTGTTTTGAATTTTTTATATTTCCTTTTTCATTCATGTATTGTATATTATTTTCTTTATGTATATGTCGTTTGTTTATTAATGCAAATATGTAGGAAAGGTTCTAACCTAATTGTCTATGTTAACAAAAAAATCTTATTATCACGGTCCCCTTGCAAAAACCACTTGAAATAATTATCTCTTTTATGTAAAATAGTTATTTTCATAATATATTTGAATTAAACATTACAATAAAGATATTATTATCTTTATTCACTCCCCCTACAAGTAGCTAACAACATATTTTTGAAACAATTCTATTTTTTATGTAAAAAAAAAAGTAGTACTGGTAAATGTCATAATATGTGGGGGGTTGGATGGCCGAATGGTTAGCATGTGCGCGCTGTATCATAAGGCCTGTCATTGAGTCAACTGGCATGGTTTCGAATCCCTGGTTGTATGTGACAAGGAGTAGGGTCGCCTGTCCAACCTCGTGGGTTTTCTTGTGGTCCTCCCTTTTCCTCCCACTGCTAAAGACCCCTACGCGCAAGCGGATTATTAAAATAAAATTAAACCATATGCTGGTCTCAAAATGACCTAGTTTGTGTTAAGTGGAGGTTAAACCCCATATCTCTCTCTCTCTCTCTCTCTCTCTGTCATAATATGTTGGAATTGAACTTTGAATCAGTCACTCTTTAAAATTAGCAGAACTAAAAAGTTAAGTATTGGAAATTAGAAATAACTACAAAGTTTCACACACCTTTGTTTCAGGATCGAAGGGTTTCGACACACAATTCTCAGATGTAGTTAAAGACATAGAAGAACCTGTTTGTGTGGCTACACCTACACCAGGAAGTCAACAGGTACTTCGTTTCGTGGGGGGTTGGATGGTCGAATGTTTAATGTGTGTGCTTTGGATCAGAAGGTCTGACATTGAGTCAAGTGGCATATGGTTTCGATTCCCTGTTTGTACATGGCAAGGAGTAGGGTCGCCTTCCAACCTTGTGGGTTTTCTCTGGGTCTTCTGGTTTCCTCCCACTGCTAAAGACTCCTAAAAACACCTAGTGGATCTCTTATATTTGTGAAAAACAACAATAAATAACAGCAGAGAGACGTTAAAAGTTAGTCTAGACTAGAATCTGTGATTTTGAAGTCTTTGTCTGAACAACATACTGCTCATATTGTGGACACTACAACATCACGACTAGAAAATCAACAGCTGAGATTCAAAGGGTTGAGGACCACATAGAAATTTCTAGATGTTAATTTCTTCCCTGTTCACACATACAAGGGCGCCGGAAAGGCGCGAGGGCCTGGGTACCAAATGATAGGGGTGGGGGGGTCTCTCTCCCCAGCCTTTAGAAAATTTTGAAATTTGTCAATTCCAGGAACGCTGTTTAGAGCATGGGTATACATGTATACCCCAGAAAAGGGCAGGGTACCATTTGTATACCCGGGTTCCGGCGCCCCTGCACACATATAAATGGTGTTTAAAAATTCTATCATTGTTTAAGTGATATTTTAGTTATTGGTTTCCCCTCGTCAGTGGTGCAGGACATAGGGCCTGACAAGGACAGGTTTCTAGATGTTTGGACAACAAAACGGATGTCTGTGTACATATTGGCATGCACATAAAAGATCCCTAGGAAATTGGAATTCGATATAAGAGTAGGTCATAGGACCACTGTCCGGGCAAAATTTCCCTTACAGCACACAGTAGGGGTGTGTACCCGTCGTCATTAGCCCAGTCGGAGCATAAACCCCTTTTCATTTAGTTATTGGTTACGTAAATAACACAAAAAACGTCTATGGAATACAATTATTGATTTTAATAGGAGCAATAATATAACGATTTTCTTGTCGTTTTCAAGAACAATATGGACACACTTTGGAAATGGACTTGAAACGTTGCTCCTATTAAATTCAGTTATTGTACATATTTTCCATAAAGGTTTGTGAGTTATTTTAATACTATTATTATATATTTCAGGTGTATGGTCCATTGTGTGAAAGATATAAAAAGTTAGAAGATCAAGTTACTAAATTATGCAGCTCATAAAGGCTTGGTATATAATCTTTATGTATAAATCTGTGTGTGTGTGGAAAATGTTAAAGTAATACATAATTAACAAGTTTTGATTACTCAGTATTATTTTATGTGAAGTATTGTCTTACAGAAAATACATTCTTAAAGTTACAATTTCATATTTTCTAAGAAAGTCAAAACATAATTATTTCTATGTCTTTGCTCAATAGGTTGTCAACTCACTATTATACGATCATAGGTTATCTTTCTCACACTTAAAAATCTTCACAGCGGAAATAATAACACAATTACCTCCCTTGTTTTCCTATTCTCGACCATGGAATAGCTATCTTCAAACATTTGAATTTGAAGTTGAAAATGATATTTTTGCCAATTTCACAACTGGCAATAGTGAATTATAGGATTAATAGGATTATTCTTTAACAAGGTAAAACTGTTTATAGATATCATCTATTTTAGGGCTTTATTTTAATACATTTTAAAAATATAACTTTAAAAATATGAAATTGTAACTTTAAATAGGCTCAACTATAACATCCCATGATTTTTATTATTCAAGATTGTTTGCAATATTAATATTTGTATAAATATATCTTTGTATATTTACTCAATGGTGCAATGTTTGTATATTTAATAGACAAAATTACGACGTGCTCTGGCTAATAACGCAGATGAGTCTGAAAATCAAAATACAACTATGGGTAAAGGCCTTTCAATTGATATGTGATGTATGCATTTATAATAAATATTGTTTAACGGGGAGGTATATTTATGTATAACTAGAAATCCTGCTGATGACCTATGACCATGAGGTTAACCATAAGCTTAGGCTTATATAATCCAGGCCCAAACTCATGAATTCATGATACCCTACCATAATAAAAAAAAAACATGAAAATTTGAATTTATTCGTGCATTATCAAAAATGACCGACAGTGAAAATTTCAAAGCGGAAGCCCTTATCCAGGTTCAGGTTTAGTGCACAAAACTGATTTATGGTTAATTTTTCTAGTACTCTTGATACCATTTCTTGTTTTAGGCTGTCACGTATCTAACAAATTGTTGTGTTTATTTTTATTTTTATATTTGTATACAAACAATTTAAGGTTGTTACACGGGCTGGATTTATATTAATTGTATCATTTTTTACTGACATTACATCACTTTAAATCAAATGTGCCAAAATGATAAAATAATTGTTATATTGCTAATTATTTGTTAAATGATTATATTGTTGATGATTTTATTAAATATTTACCAACATATTCGTTCAAATGAAGTTGCAATCTGTTTCACAGAGATCTTTTAATATCTCTGTAACAGATGACTGTTTCGACACGTGACGTCACATCACACGGCGTCAATCATTGGCTCAATAGCATGTGCATTGTTTACATAAGACGTTACTGATTCGGGCTAAATGGTGAATTTTACTTATTTTAATACCGATTTACACTAAATAGGAAATGATTTTTACCTACAAATAATTCAAAGTCTTTATTTATTTTTCTAATAAATGAAAAAATTTGACAGAAGAAAATAGTTAATATTTGGGACTCATTAAGTCGCATCGATGTCATCCTTATCAGTGATTGTAGCGACCTAGCGAAAATTCACTGCTGATCAGTGTGATGAAGTTGATCAGCCCCAAAAGATGAAGTGGGATAACCATGAAGTGGCAAATTAGACTTTTTGACAAATTTTCAACTTCTTTACCAAACTATACCATAGATTTCTTTCAAACATGGTAGGTATGTTGCTTGGGTGATGTCTATGTCAACAGACCTCATCATAGGTGTGGCTATATGTGGGGCATTTGTACATTAAAGTTGCAAATTCAGACATTTTGGATCTTTCTCTTAAACATCTAGATGAATTTGACAAAGTTGCATTGGTGATACATGTTCAATTGATGTTGCCCTGTCCACTTAGGTTTTGAGCTTTTCTCCTAAAACATATGATGGATTCCAACCATATTTGCTAGACATGTTTCCTTGGTTTTGATTATGTATATTCAATCCTTCCCACATTGTTGATCGGCCCACATGGGGGTGTATTCCCGCGAAGGCGCAGTTACAGAGCGTGACCAAAATTAATCCTTCCACGAAGGCGCAGATAATGACTTGTCGGCTTTCGTTTGAAGAGAGGCATATTGCTATTAGGACCCAATTTACGGTGTTAAAGATTTTATGAATTTATGTTCACTCTGAATTTTATTCACCAATTGGCAACTAATGATTAAAATCATCAAATTATCCAAGTATTCAATATGAATCTTAATTTGGAGACGAACACAGAATGTAGGTATACAAGTGCAATATAGAGACGATGAAGAAATACAGAAGGTGTTACGGAGGTTTACAGCTCTACAGTAGGTACCAGTACAAAGGGTAGGTGTATTATATTATGTCTTGCTGTATTGGCCTTCGACTTCTCGAGGGTTAATTTGCAACTCATCAGTGGGACTACTACGACACAGAGGAGCACAGAACCAACAAGACTCTGGAAGGATGGCATGCAAGAATCAAGAAGCTACTTGGAAAACCCCATCCGAATGTTTTTAAAATGATCACATTTTAACAACAAGAACAAAATATTAATGAGATTAGAATCGTTCAGTATGCTGGGGGGACAGGAACCACCAAAGAAATGATATAAATATGCTCAAATCCAAAGCCAACTCCAGGAATTATCATAACAATCTATAACACCATTGTTATGTTTTTAATCCATTTAATCCCTAGGAGCTGGATTCCCACGAAGTCATCGAAAACAACCTCGTTTAATCCATTATGGTCAATAACTGCGCCTTCGTGGGAATAAACCCACATGGGGACCTTAAAAGGCAGGCCACACGGTTTTCACGAATTCAAATTTGATAAAAATAGCAGAAGTATCAAGGGTGGATAATTTGACTATGTGTCTTCCCTGTGGATGGATCCAGAAACTAGTGGAGTAGAATGAAACGATACCATTAGGGATACCAAGAATGTGCCACAAGGGACAATTTTAAGAATAATATACACAACGACTTTATGCAGTCTATTCCAGACGTTTTATCAAAGCATTTCCTATCTTTATCAACAGCATACAGCAACAACAAAGAAACATTTAAGACAATTTATTGACTCCATAAAAAAAAAATTCATATCAACAAAAATATAACAAATAAATATACATATAGGCATTTTATATTTTTTAACCGGTATTTAGTTTTAAAAGCTAATGCCAACTTTTAGATTTGTACATTGTTAACATATGTAGTACAAAATCATTATAATATAAATATGGTTATTAATAATATCTAACAAGAATATAAAATGATACAAAATTGTGGCATTCGTCATATATAATACAATATATGCCCTCATAACCTGAGTATATCAGAGTTACATCATGATATTCCCAGGTTATAATGAGGTTTTTAAAAAAAAGCTATGAAATATTTATTATGAAATATAGCAATAACCTCTAGAAGTTAACTTTTATAAAAAAAAAAGAAACTTTGCATAAAGCTGGTCAAATATGTTCCAGTGAATTTAGTAAATAAGGATTTGAACAGTTCCAGTAATAATCCTAATTAAATCTAATTTAATATACAATACGGAAATATATGTGCAGTACCAGTAATAACTCCAATAAAATTTGTAAATAATTTCATTTTATATACAAGATGTATGAGAATTCCCTAACAATTAACAGTAATAATTGACAAGTTGTCTTTCTCTACCAGTGTATAATCTGGCATAAACTGTGAAATATCACTTATAAATAAGTACAACAGAACATATTATAAAGCAGTCAATATGCATCATATTAAACCATTATTTCATATACTAAACAAATCAAACTATAATCCCACTTTTATTAGAAGTGTTTATGAGCAATCAAAATTCTATGGACAATAAACATGTGGTTATAAGATGTACAACAAATATTATCTTTAAAGGGCATTGCTTGATAATGGTGGGAGTATCCTCATTGAAACATTGCTGTTGATAAACCTAGTGAATGTTATCCATAAAGCTGTCTGTTATTACAACAAATAATCATTGTCAATTCGTGCAACTAAAGTAGTCATTAGTTCATATCACTAAAATAAAACAATATACTCTATTTTTGTAAATTTTCTAATGCTAAACTTTGAAGTTTTTTTGTTTGTTTTACTAAATGCTAATGAGACTATACAACGATGTAAAATGGTAATAACTAAAGTAGTCATTAGTTCATATCACTAAAATAAAACAATACACTTTATTTTTGTAAATTTTCTAATGCTAAACTTTGAAGGTTTTTTTGTTGGTTTTACTAAATGCTAATGAGACTATACAACGATGTAAAATGGTAATAAAAGGAAATGAACAAATCATTAATTTAACAAAATAGATTATATATTATATGTGTGGTTTAATGATCAGGAGCATATTGAACTTGCACGAGGACGTCCGCCCAAGTGTTGTGTCAATAGGCTATATTGCCATTGCCTAATGTCATGCTCGAGACCATTAAACAACTTAAAATAGAGATACTATCCAGCACGCGCATTTCAATGAAATCGTCATGCTAATCCAATATTTGAACTAGTATAAATAATGTACGATTAGCCTTGCTGCCTGTACATTATATTAAATAACGGTACACGAATATCAAAGGATGGCATCTATATTTTAACATGGGTTTATTCATGTGCATAACATTTATTTAATATTACAAAATAAGATATATTTCTTTTTTTTGTATTTATATTTTGTAATATTTTTAGTTGTTTTCTCTGGGTCAACTTATTTGTACCCTATGCTTGGTTATACATGGATATACATGTAATATTAATCTTAGACAATATTTTAACAAAATATCAAAAATTCAAGGATTTATAATCAATTAGCACTAATATACAATACATTAACTAACCACTGCCAATGTCGTTACAGCAGAAAATGAAATATTTTGGCGTATTTACCTAGGCCTACTGTAGTGTTATTCCACTACCTTACTTGGCAGACAAGCGGGCTACTAAAACCGCCTTCATTTCTTTAGCAAGAGCCTCCAACTCAACAATCTTTTCTCGCATTTTTTCATTTTCTACCACAAGGACATTAGCCTTGTCTTCCATTTCTGTGAACTTGTTCTTCCTAATTTCACGAGACCTTTTTGAAGCAATGTTATTTTTTTCCCTACGCACGCGATATTTATTTGGGTTAGAACAACTGGCCTCGGAAGACTGGTCAGTATCATAAGCATCTGGTGCAGAAGTCAATCTAGGCTTTTTGGCACTGTAGGCGTGGTCTGGTGTGGTGGTTAACACTGGGTTGGTGTCAATTTCCACGACCTCTTCAACGTCATGCCATTTACGTTTATTTGTTGCAGAAGTGCCATCGTCCACTGAAACAGTGTCAGGCGTTACGTCTGCAACTGGGATTGACTCCTGCAAATAAACAAACCATGCATGCCATTTTTTTAATAACAATATTTACAAACAAAACATTTAAATTATGATAATTTTAGGCAACAACTCTTTTGTAAATACTTTTCAATTTTTGGCTCAGAAATGTGCGAAAGTTTTCTGTATTATATGACAGAAATGTTTGCAAAAAGCCAAAGAATTAAAAATAAATACTAACCTCCATTAGATATGCAGAAAGATCAACAAAGCTGTCAAGACTAGCTTCGGCAAAAGGATCCATTTCTCCAAATAAAGGGTTGAAATTATTTAAACTCAAAATATCTGATCCATTATCAATGGCTGATAAAAGGTCAGATGCCGTGTCGTTGCCAGTAACATGGAACTTGTCACTAGCCTGGTCTGAAAAATACAAAATATGCCAAAAACAATAAGTATATTTTTAAAAATAAATATATTTGCTTCATAAACAGCATTAAAATATCAATGTGCAAACTTCATTCACAACTAATGGCAATATTTAAAAAAAAAAAAATCAACTTACTGAAATAAGATTCTAGTATTACTTTGACTTTAGACACATGCACCCGCAGAAAGTATTGAGGACAAAGTTAATATTCAAGTATTCTTGAATATGAATTCATACATAATTATTTTAAATATTTTTCTTTATTAACTTAAGTTGCCCCTCTGTGCATTAATTAATTCAGGTTATAATAAAACGAAAGTAATTTGGAAAATCTATTGTTTTCAGAATTTGCATATCATTGACTGCATCAGCTGTCTATATAAACTTGACAATTCAGTGTTAAAAGCATAATGAATTTAAAAGAGAGTAATTCCCCTTAAATTATAATATTGCACCACTGGGTGTCATCATATCTATTTCTATTTCAATCAGTTGTGAAATACTGAACTACGAATTTATGCTGACCTCAACATATTTAGTCACGTGACGACAACTGATAAACAAGAAGGTAAATAAAAGGTAGGCAACTAGATAGTCGTGATCACCAAGACATTCCACGCATCGCTGATAACATAAGTATGTATTTATAGCTTACGCGCAATTGAATAAAGGGCGTTCCGCCGACTGATAAATAAATGGCTTAATGGCTTCAGTTCACGTTATTTAATGACGTACAAAAATAGAATGACAATCGCCCGCGGCCATTTATATGCCATTCCGGTCGAAACTGGATAATTTTAAAACGTTTAATTTGTGTTCATTTTATAAATTGTGTAGTAAATGTACTTTTACGAAATGCGGTCATAATTACCTTCGTCAAATAGGCCACCGGTCTTCTGGTCCAAATGCGGTACGATGTTGTGTGAAGTGTCCAACATTTTTTGTGCCATCTTTGAGATCCTCCTTAATCTCCAACCAGTCAACCAGTTCGTTTAAATCTTTCGGAAAATACTCCCCAGAGGGAACCAATCTAATTTCTTCACCCTGCATGTCCATGAAATGGCCTGCCGACGCCTCCTCGAGATTAAAGTTGTTTGAAATCTTGTTTGATTTACTTGTCTCTCCGATGTTGTAGCTTGTATATTTACTCAGCTTGATGGAATCCTTTGCCTATGCGGCCGTCGGTTGCTTGATCCAGCCCTGAAATTTCATCATCAAAATATATTAACAATTGTAAAAAAAAATGCCGGTAAAACCTATATTATTGGATTTAGTCAAATCATTTTAGACAGTTTAACATGATTTTTGATCAATCTGACAGCGCGTTTACTTGCCAAAGATTTTAGTTTGTTAGATTTTTTTATTCTGTTTAATTTTATATGCATATCTAAGTATTTCTTTCTAAATTATACCTGAAATTTCACGCTTTCCCTCTGGTTTCTAGTGCGGTCTATCTAATGTCTTAACTTCGTCTTTTCTCAGTATTTTATGGTGCAATACCTATTCTATTTTTAGTTACTTGCGTGTCGACCAACCAATCACAGTTGAAGGAATGGGCATGTTGGTTAAATATAGAAATAACCTATACGTCATCATTAGCCAATGAATCGAGAGAAAGTCGTATAACCGTTCTAATGTTAATACACACTCCCCATTATTTTGTTCACTTATATATATATTAAAATTGATTTATTGAATGACATCTCTAATGAATATTTTTTTTCAAAAGTCAATACATTTATACAACACTAAGTTTATGATATTTAATTTTCAACAAATGTCTTTATGGATATTTTTTGTAGAATATGGATATGTGGCGCACGGATACAAAGACTAAAAGCAAGATTTTGACCTCCTCATTCATATAACACATCCCAGGTCATTGGTTGAGGTGTTAGGTCACTTATTGTAATTTTAGATGCTATTTATAACAACGCTAACGAAACAGCACCCCGCTTTATTTCCAAATAGATGTTTAATCCAAAAATATATTACAAAGATTATCGATAAGTTATGTTATGAATTTTTTTATAAAGAAAAGACAAAGTGCAAATAAAAGCATCCAGCCAATCATATACGTCGATACATGGACATTGGCACTACATCCGGGTTATCAGTAAAGGGGAAAGAGATATCAGCCATTTTGGAAAAAATAATTGTTTTTGTGCTTCATGTTTTGCATGTTTACATTATACATGTTTTGAAATTTCCGTTTGGCAAAGGTTGCAATGGCAGAAAACAACACTTGGACTTCAAAGAAAATATGCCGTGAATAGTATAAGCCTGGAGAGATAACAAAATGAATGTGTTTTTCGAGGTCAAGCTTATTCTGTTCTTGTTGCAGATTGTGTCACTTCCAATCAGTTGTAAGTTTTAACACTCGTATCTTGCATTATTATTACACTTGAGGAGGTGGCCACTACGATTAGGCCGAACTTATAATGATCAACAGGAAACAGTGGTCATTGCAGTGAGTTAATAAACAGTCGTACATCAAACAAGGTCGATAACTCATTCAAATTCCACCCTATCCCCTCTGTTCTCAGTACTGACTGTCACACACAGTACGTACTGTCAGTAGGCAAGGACTAGCGGAGAGTTTGATTTTCATTTTTCCCATTTGTCCTTTCCCACGAATTTTAATATTAATTACTTCAAAATAGAAATCATGAAGTGCAGGTCCACTTTGACATTATGATTAATAGCTGCCCCACAGTAAAATACTATGGGACAAGGCTGCATGACATGCAGCACTATTTTAGTATTTAGTATTTTTAAAGGAGCTAAATCGCTAATATTTGGGACCTAGAAATTGACCCAAATGGGTCGCAACGCATATAATAATGTAATCTGATTGTATATGATTTATGAACTGATTTATATTCAACTGTTTCCGTTTTGACTCTTAATTTCAAATCAGTTAGGTCCAGCGAAATTTGGCATGAGTCTCAACCGAATAGAAATTTCTAGCGTCTGGTTATTCCAGTCAATTGCGCATGCTCTCCAGATAAGTTATGCCATCGCCATATGACATGAGTTGTAGAATATGTCTAGCCTCGCTCTTTTTGGTCACTTGTTACAAATGACGATGAAACGCACTATGGGTACACGATTTGTGTACCAATGGTAAAATGGTTATTTTGTCTTAAATATTGGATATCAGAAGCTTACCTTTTCCCGGTAAGATAACAACATCAATGTTGATTTGAATTGACAAATAATTCGTGTTTTCAGCGTGTAAGACTTTGGATGAATGATATTGAGTTAGAGACTTAGCTACTTTAAGTTACCCAAATCCACCTTTATTTTAACATGTAGGTCTAATGATTTACATCAATATTTGCTATCATACCGTTCTTTATGCCATGTGACTTTTTTAATTTAAAATCATGTTTTGTATCAAAATGAAAAAATACCCCAAGTAAATTTTAGTTGTAACCAAATCCATTATTATTTCAATTCACTTATATCAATATTTGGGTATCCAGACAACTCATCCCAAATACAACTCAGCCCAAGACCACTCATCCCAAAATAGAAGACCACTGTGACCTGTACCCCTTGGCGCAGATTTGTAGAGATTCATGGATGGAATAGACCTTGCTCAAGACAAAAAGGCATTGTTTTCAGTTTCAGATAATAGTTTTAGCACAAATGCACTTGCTAAAATTCACAGCAGCATTCAGTTACTTGTATGTGTGTTGCATACATGTAACTTCTCCATCTAACTTCGTTCAAGATGAGTGGTACCATTTCTATTGATATGGTACTAGACTGTGAGTCTTGATAATGGCAGATTCATTCATGTATGTTCATTATCCAAACTGATAATCTGCAATTGAATATTTATTTTAAAATTTTTAACATGTGAATGTAAGAATAGGCTAACAGCTCATAAAATATTAACACTTTCTAAATGATGTACATAAATGTGAGCTGCTCCTACAAAACCAGACTCTTGGTCATTTTTATAAAAATAGAGCTGGCAGCTCTGTTTGAATAGTCCACAGTCTATAAGCTTTCCAAAAATGCAATTCTTTTTAAATTTGTCATACAAAATGAGGTTGTGTGGCAAGCGCCTGGTTTCGTGGGAGTTGGTCACATATGTATACAATCAAAGACGAATCATTTATATTTTCAGATGTTCGGAGTGAAAATCCCGCTGTTTTACCTGTGTTAGAGTGTGAAAAATATGACCATACATGTGATCCAGCAAAAGAAAAGTGTCAAACAGTGGACAGATGTGTTCCACATGGCCCAGAGGGAAAGGTTTCTTGTTATGCCTCATGGAGAAATGGAACAGATGGATTCAAAAATATGAAAAAAGGATGCTGGTTGAATTCTGAAAACTGTCTGAATGACACAGAGTGTATTGAAAATACACCAAACAGAGAAATATATTTTTGTTGTTGCCAAAAGCCTATGTGCAATGGTCGCTTAACCTTGAGACCAGTTATTAGTCCACCAACAACGACGTCTAGCTCCACGACCAAAGTTCGTGAATCAGGGGATGGCCAGTTGATGCGTACATTGATGTATTCTATTGTACCGATATTAGGAACAGCTTTATTAATTGTAGTCATTTTCTGGATGTGGAGATGGCATCAGCGGCGAACAACAATTTATCATGAACAGCTTCCTACAGCAGACCCCGCCCTGCTCAATACACCATGTGATGAGGCATTGCGACCTCTTCAACTTTTAGAGTTGCGTGCTAGAGGGCGTTTTGGGGCTGTATGGAAAGCTCAGCTTATCAGTGACTTTGTAGCAGTGAAGATATTTCCACTGCAAGATAAACTTTCATGGGTATCAGAACACGACATTTACGTTTTACCTCAAATGAAGCATGAAAACATTTTGAATTTTATTGCTGTTGAAAAACGAGGTGAAAGTTTAAACACCGAACTATGGCTCATTACAGAGTTTCATGAATTGGGTTCTTTATGTGACTATTTAAAGTGTCACACCATTACTTGGAGTGAATTATGCAAAATTGCGGAAAGCATGGCTAAAGGTTTAGCATATTTACATGATGAAATTCCAGCTACAAAAGATAAATTAGCAAAACCTGCTGTTGCACACAGAGACTTTAAGAGTAAAAATGTATTATTAAAAAGTGACTTAACTGCTTGTGTAGGAGATTTTGGATTAGCTCTTAAGTTTGAACCAGGAATCAGTCCAGGAGAAACTCATGGATTGGTAAGTTTTTGATTGTGTTTAATGTAGTAACCGGGTGAAGAAATGTATAAGTTGAAAGTTCTTAACAGTTGTAATAATTGGCTTGTTTGTTTTTTTGCAGAAAATTATTGTGTTAATTTCTGAACAAAGACAGAAACAACCGCCTTATTCTGTTAAAGCTCAGTTGTTCATTTAAAGATGCATTATGTAAGGTGTACATGTAGATAAAGAGCTGAGCTATATTATTTTAAAAATGGATAATGATAAAGGAATACATGTATGTATTGAAAATTTCAGTCAAATTACTTTGTTCTGCGTAAAATTATGATTGGTTGAAGAATGGCATAGTCTCGAATTTCATAGCTACCATTGTAATGATATTAAACAAAGTCTCAATTATCATTGTAATGATAATAAACTAATAAACAAAGTCTCAATTATCTATTTTTAGATTAAATCATTAAATGGCAATAGTCATAGTGTTTCAGTCCATTCCAAATAAATGCCATCCGATGGTCTAGAGAGTTAATTACATGGGCTTGTCATGTGACATGTATATGTATGTCTAAATAATAATTTATATTTCATTTGAGGCCAAAAAAAGGATCTGCAATAGGCATGTATTTAGATATCACATAATGCATCATTAATCCCAAAATTTTCATATACATGTATCTTTTGATAGCCTGATGTTGTAAGATACGAGCTGTCACATCTCACCATTGATTACCATTTTAATTGATTCATCGGACATCAAAATTCCAAAATTTCAATTAATACAGTGTACATTATTTTACCTAATTTTTTTTTTTTTTCTTTTTTTTTTTTTTACCATTCCATTTTACAAGATTTAACATCAGTCTTCATCGTCAAGCAAGATGTTCAACAAACAATGGTACAGAAAATGACCATTTTCTTTTTTTTTGGTTATATTCAATTTTAATTCATTCATTTTCTTTTTTGTTTTATCTATGGTAACCAAAAGCATTATTTATAGTTATATTCATGTACAACGTTAAGGTTATGATGTAATACATGTACATGTTCTCAGCATGGCTTTGGGAAGAGTGTGACACAAACATTATATTCGATAACCATGTTTTACTGGACCATTTCAGTTTGTCATTGAGTTTTATTGTTGAATATTTAAATGAGTTATTACGTGCATTTGAAATTTTTACTGGCGGAAAACTTTTATTTTTTTGATAACTTTGCCAAATTAAAAGATCTTTAGATTAAGTGGTATTCTCACAAATAATAACTGATCATGCACAGGTCACAATTCAATGGAATACAATTACCAATATTGTTTATTACTGAGTGACATTCCGACTAGGCTTCTCAATTCTTTATCAAGCAATGATAATATTGGTCAGCAACAAACAGTAATTGTGACCTTTCCAGTTCAGTTATGAAATGCCATTGAAATAATAAATGATCATGTTTATCTCAGTAATTTGTTAATTATTGTGTTTTATTTCTATTTTTCAGGTGGGTACAAGAAGGTATATGGCACCAGAAATTCTTGAGGGAGCAATATGTTTTAATAGGGATGCCTTTTTAAGGATTGATATGTACGCTTGTGGTCTGGTTTTATGGGAGCTGGTAGCTCGTTGTTCAGCACGCGATGGTAAGTTTGTTCAGAAGTAAATAAAACTATGTGCATGTACATGTACATTGGGAGATAAATGCTGTAATTGGATAAATTAGAGCAATTATGTTCCGGTCGACAACATTAATGTTTCTGTAATGAAGAAGAATAGTTGTTGCCTATTTAAGATGGTTTATAGATATGTATACAATTACTTTTAGATGTCACTTTAGGATTGCAAAGTGCCAATTTATGCCGAAGAAGGGTTTTGACTGGTGTCAAAAATGCTGAAATCTTCAACACACAGCCATTTTGAAATTGACATCATCATCCCCTTAATCATCAACATCAGCTTCTCCCAGAAAATCATCTTGATGTTGACACTTTGAAATCATCAACAACATCTTAACCCTTGCACTTATAATTATCATCATCAACTTCTCCCAGGCATTTGAAATCAGTAACCTCCTCTTTTCCCCTTGTACTTTGAAGTCATCAACATCATCTCCTTGACACTTAAAAAAAGCTTGGTTAGACTTCATGTATGTCATTTAAGTTATGGTCACAAATCATCTCTTTTATAACACAATGTTCTACATGTATTTTATGATAATATGAGATTTATTTGATATATTCACAGGTCCTGTAGAGGAATACATTTTACCATTTGAAGAAGAGATAGGTGCTCATCCTACACTTGAAGAGATGCAGGATATGGTCGTTACCAGAAAAATCCGACCAGCTATTAAAGACAATTGGCTCACTCATCCAGTAAGATTTCGTTCACGTTTACAATTCATATCATAAGAGGGTTGTGGATCATATATTATTATTATCAATGTACATTTTTAAAGTGCACGACTTCATGTGCACTTTACAAAATATGGTACAGAAAATTAAATTTACAAATAAACGATCAAAATACAAATAAGACATCCATGTAAACATTGAATCAACTTAAAATCTTCTATATTTCATTAATTCATAAACTATTAATACTGATCGATAGTAAATAATTTGAAAATTCACTGTTATGCATGAATTAAAATGAATGATGTATCACCAAGGAAAGGCCTCTAAGATTAAGTATGATTTCAAATTGTGTAGGTTGCATGTGTAAATTGGTGACCTACCCCTTACTACATGTACCGCAGCTCTTTATCTGATTAATTTGAGATTTTAAAGTCCAAATGAATTTATTTTAGTGTCACTGACTGTTGATGTCAACATGTTATTACAATCTGGGCCCTGTTTCTCAAAATCTTAACTAAAGATAAAATCAAATTTTAGTAGATACTTTAATTTTGATGGGCTAAGCACTAAAATCAATCTAATATTATCCAATCAAATTACTAAAATTTGGATTTGATCTTAGTTAAAATTTTGTGAAACAGGCCCCTACTGTCTAATTTTTGAAAGCAGATCTAGTCACTGATTACAGTGTGATTACTTATTGTGAATAAGCTTATATTACTGAATGTTGTGTGACAAGATTTGTCAGTTGTAACATCTGTGGGTATGACATGTAGAGTGTTTCTAGATGCGATGAGAAACTAATATCCAGTGTAAAATTGGCAGCAAAAGATCTTTTTGTAGTTAGAATTTGAAGAATTACACTCATCGTAACCATAGAAATAAAAATCATCCCATAATGATGCATGTAAATCATCTCAATGAGATGTTGAATCACCATTGCCATTGTTTTAAATGCATTTGTTAGTAGAGCTACTCTAATATAAATTATGTCAAAAGTACATTTTTTCAATAGATCTAATGATATAGTAAACATCTATTAAAAATAATAACAAACATTTTTTGTAATTACAGGGACTGGCAGCTCTCGTATCTACGATAGAGGAGTGCTGGGATCAAGATGCTGAAGCCAGATTATCGGCGGGTTGTGTCCAGGAACGCATATCTCAGCTATCTCGTAATGTTAATGTATCTACCTCCATCAATCAGATGCCAGATGTTGTAATACCTCTCGATATGGACCTTCCTCCTAAAGATATAAGTATATAGACTGTTAGAAATAAACACCGGACATACTTATTCTAAGACTAAATACCATTTCATATTGGTCTTGCGATATATACACTCAGAACATTTGTATTCGCGGCTTAGATATCGCTTGTTTTTACAGAATAAATCATGCGAAATTGTCTTATGAAATATTTTCCAAGACCCAAAGTGAATTCATCAACTGATATATAGATGAATAAAACCTTGAATTTGGAGGGTTTTTTTTTTAAGATTTCACAAGACACTCTTCAAAACTGTTATGTTATGTATGGACAAATAAGATTTCAAGTTATATTCTTTACTGTTCATAATCATGAAATCTGTCTGAAGTCTTTAACTCCCCCCAAAATTTGAACTGAATTAATTTGCATTTTTTATTTTGCATTGAAGAGTTGATAGTAGAGTACTTGTACAATGAACCTTGTAATGTTCTACAAACTGTAAGACATTGATAACAAGGCTGATAAGAGTATTATTAACCCAGACATATTTGTTGTATACATGTATATATCAAACTTACAAATACATGTATTTGTGTTTAGACATCATCGATTATCATAGGGTTGTTTAAAACTTGACCACTTTTGATTGATTTTAATTCTTCAACATTTTGTTTGAAACATTTTGCACTGTTCTTTATAGGTTGTAATTTGCGATCACATCTCTTAGATTCAACAAAGTGAACTAAATTTATGCTAAATGTTATTGTTTTTAGAAATGTAGAATTGAGGTCTGTAATTATCACGACTCGTTTATTTAACAGTAGCTTCATAAACAGATCAATTTCAATAAATTTAAAACTACTATGGTAATATTGATTTAACTTTTTAGGTATTATATACGTGTATAATTTGTTGTTGATTTAGTAAACCTTCTGATCTTCCGTTGTAAATCAACAAAATCTTTGGAAACTTTGACGCCCAGTTGGTCCACACAATGACAGTTTTGGACAGAGATGTTATGGATATAGAGCTTTTGTTTTTAGGAACAACGCACTTCAAAAAAGCCCAAGACTCTGTCAATTCAAGTTTGATCAACCTGAAATTTGACATGCTTGTTTTTTTGGCAGTTTTGCATTGATTATTGATATGACATCAGACCCGTGTGTTTTAAGCATTAGATCTTTGTTGATTTGACACAGAATGATCCATTATTTTTTTTTTACATGTACAGGTTGTTATATTGAACTGTTGAACAGTTGGGGGTTTATTTAGGTTTTATTAATGTATATTAAAGGCAGCTGTCAATTCTAAACGTTTAATTTCTGTTAATTAAAAACTTTATCAGACTTAATGGTTTGAATATTACTTTGATTATAACTCTAGGCCTATTTCTTGGAAGTTGTGCTAGAAATAACAGTGACATTATTCATGAAAACTTAAACTAAAATATTTTAAAGATTCATACTTTTGATTGGCTAAAGGTTAAAATCTTTGTATATACTTTAGCTCTAAGCCAATAAAAAGTCTGTATTTTTCAAATACATTAAATTAAGTTTTGGTGAATAAGATCCCAGATTTATAAGAATTTTGCTTTAGTATAAATAGTGTTCAGTTTTTAAGCTGGAGACTCATGAATAATAAGAATAAGCTGTAACTTTTAGCTATTATTGCACGTTATTGAATTCAGGTGATAATTTGGTTCTGATAATCTGTTTTGAATTGACACAGTACATTGTCCATTTTGAAACAAACTAAATATCAAGCAAGGTGTGCCTATTTAATAAAATGAATTACTTAATCAGGAACAATTACAATGAATTTGACCTCGTTTGGCATATACAGGTATCAACTAATTCTCACTATGCATAGACTTACGATAAAATGGAGTGCCTCATAAAATCATCAATATGAAATTTTATACAGTAACAAGAACTCTACATATATCAATCTTTTATAATGTTTACTGATTAATTAGCTTACTGTGCTCAAAATAGTAACTAGTTTGCATACGGTTGCAGTCCCTTGGGCACTTTGATTACAGTTCCTGTGGCTACATGACAATGTACATGTACATGGCATAGTGTTTGTATTTATGACCAACCAGAAATCAAAACTGACATCGCTAAGCAGTTTTTGTATGTCTTCAACAGTGTCTTTAATAGATATTGTTAGTGTTTTAATCATCTCAATAAAATGTTTGGTTTTTAAAAATCATGAGGTATTTTAGTCTTTGCTGCCATAAAAAAAAAAGAAATTAGTTGTATTTTGTTACCTGTTAAATATCTACATGGCGGACATCATGATATAAAATTATAATGTTTTACTTGACAATCTATTTGATTTAGATCTATGTTTTGTAAAGATTTATCATGAAAGACCATGGATGTACATGTACCCTACACTATCTGACCATCTCTTAGACCTTAGCAATTTAAACCCTCTAACCTAAGGGTCTTTTACATTGATGAGTGAAATCAATATGATTCTGTTCAATAAAACATTGTGATTAATTATTTGTAGCTCTCATCCTTATTTTAAAAGGAATTTTTGATGTTGCCTTTTAGGTACATCAACAAAAAGTCAAGTGTCAGATCATTTAGCAGTTTGTAATCATAAATCAAGGTCCTCAAATCTTTTTCTATTTTAGAATTTTCATAGATTTTGTTAAAATTGTTAAAAAAAAAAATCAAAGTGGTCTATCTGCTAAATCATAAAGAAATTCTTCGAATTAGACATTCAAAATCCATGTATTTTAAAGACAGATTTTTTTTTATTTTAACTTATGGCTAAGTACAGGTAAATGGCATCAAGTGATTGTGACAGATTTTGATATTTATTTTAGAATTTTCATGGTAAAATGGATGACAGTGAGTCAACCTAGATTGTATTTGTTTAAATACAGGGTTTTTTAAACTCCCGTTATTCATTAGTGTTTAACATTGGTTTATAATTCATTACCATCTGCTTAGTTGTGCAGATTATTGTCAGGGGGTGGTATTCAAGAAAACTTAAATATTTTGGAAGCTATTGTAGTTTTGAAAAATGATTTTGGTACTTGAATATTATTATTGGCTGCCCAAAATCTTTTGCTGTAAGCTGCGATTCTTAATGTCATAATTTTATCGATTAATTTGAAAGATGTGAAGACAATTGTGGATGCACCTGTTTCATTGGCCAAGAACTAAATACACGTTTTAGCTCTTGGCCAATGGAAAAGCTGCATACTTGAAGCATTTTAGTCTTAAGTTTTCATGAATAAGTCTCCCAGAAACACAGCAACTTGCCTACCAATTGTCAGCGTGAATTGTTAGATCTATTTCACATGGCCACCTGCAGATTTTGTCATAGCTTACAAGATGTAAACAGGGCTAGCCCTAATCCTAACCCAAGACCTAGCCCTAAGCCTTACCCTAACCCATAATCCTCGGCAACAATCATGTGCCGTAACCCTATTTATATCTCGTGACCATGGCTGTGTTAAATAGATCTAAGCCATCGTGAATAATGAATTGTGTACCATTGCTATATCATGATGCCTGTTATTATTTTATACATGATAATATTAGACGACTTCGTATACTTCATTTAATGTATAGTTATTATTATTATTATTATGAAGTTTTAAATGGATTAATTGTATAATGTCTAAAGATCAAAATTACATTTACAGGGAGTAAACTGATTTCATTCACAGTAAAATATTTCTGTATATTTGTCTAAAAAAAACTTTTTTTAAGTTGGTTATACTGTGTAGGTTGATAGGTGCCATGTCTGAGGGAAAGTATGCTTACTTTCTCTATAATAGATACTGCTTTATGCCTTTTTTTTTTTAACAATTTTGTTTTCTTGAAAGGTTTTGTATCATGTGAATGTTTTTTTACACAGAGAATAATGAATAATTTTTATTTTAATCAAAGCAGATGTTTATAGTTTTTAATTTATTTTTTTCTAATTCGGTTGTATTAAGCATTGATGTTTTAAAATGTGGAAGGAAGAAATGAAGCTATGAATGGAATCAGTTTAAAGTTGTATATAATGTATATATTACGTAGAAGAGATCTTTTACTATTTAAACATACTTGTTTTAAAAGGCGTCTTATATTGCATGTCATGTACAGAAGTAGTTAATCCATTTTCTATAAATATATATATAAATATATCATTTCTCTATGTACTTATACTACTATTAGCACTTCTTAGGTCAGTTTATATTCTAAGATATACATAATTATTTGTATACTTTATTATTATTAACTACTTTAAAATATAAACCTTGAACTCTAGCATGGTACAGGGACAATGATATTTATCTTTTTTTGAAAGGAATTCTTATGATTGATTAGACCATTTTGATCCATCTATCCACATATTCCTCGTTTGATTAGAACTTGACATTTGCCTTAGGAATATGTCTGTCCTAGCCAATTGGTTATATATACTAAGTAAGAAAGAAATATGGGGAAGAAATAGTTCTTGCTCTTTTACATTCAAATTTTTATCAGCTACAAGTACTTTTTGCTTTAATGAATGAATTTGGCTATAGTTAAATCATAAAATTTCTTGACTTTTCCAATTATCTGTTTGTCTTGTCCAAGGCAATTGGTTATGTAAGCTTAGACTGAGAAAGAAAGAAGTATGGGGAAAAATTTGCACTGTTTATTAAAATATTTATCTATTCTAAATACTTTACTTCTTTAATGAATGAATTTGGCTTTGGTTGTAAACTTGTAATACATCATAAAAGTTCATTAGTTTTCCAATTCTCTGGTCTGTTGATGAGGAAGATACGTTGGTCTGATATTTAGTGATATGGTTGTCCCTGTCAATATTGCTAGTTTTAACAAACCGGTTATGAATGTTTTATAAATTATCATAGAGTCTATGTACATGTTTTATGCCAAAAATTTCTGACAAAAACTTTTTAAAAATCAATTTTTACCTCAAATATATCCTTGTTAATAGATATTTTAAATGTATATGTTTAATACTTTAGTATTAAGTTAGAGAAATGAACTAACCAGTCTGACTTGATATTTTAAAACACTTGTTTTTAAACACATATTGCTAATGTTTTATACACAGGGAATGATAGAACAATTTTTAAATTAATCAAAGCAGGCACTTTTAATTTAGTTATATTTACGATGAAATATCTTTCTGTCTTTACAAATGGTTTGAAAATTGTATTCTGGTTAGAGTTTTTAAACTTGAAATCAGATGATCCTCATTTATCCATTCTTTTTAAAAGAAATTTGTTCAAATTATTACCTAAACACAAAATATCTTGTGTGATTACAGTGTATTCCTGACCATTTCTCCCTCTCCAGGGATCCCTTTTCTAATGCCAGAGTATTTGAGATAATTTCATTAATAAGAATCATCTGATGAATAGTTTAAATCAGATGGAGATAGTAACTAAATCTTAACATAAGTTTTCTTTTTTAAGTTTATAACTTCAGTCTTAAGACTAACTGATGTAATGGCAAACTTGTTCACATATGTGACAAAATTTAAGAAAAAAAATAGGATATTTTCTATTCTATGCACATAAGTTCCTCTTGATAGTAAGTCAGTTAATTGTCTATTGAATATTTTGAAGCATTTATATATATATATATAAATATATATATATACATCATTTATTTGTATGTTAATATAATGTACCTTTTATGTTTTATTTTTATTTTTGAGCATCACTCATCCCGATATTTGACAGTGTAACTAGTCCCGTGACAATCAGATAAGACGTTTTTTTTTTATTGAACACAAGAGTTTAAAACATTGTATTTAGAAGTATTTTATTTCTGTTCCCTTCCCCCAATCCCACCCCCCAATATCAATTACTCGATTCACCTTTTATAGATTGTTCACTGATTATTATAAATTCTCTACTTGAGCTACATGCGTCGCCAAAATTCTAAACCAGAAACTTTTATTCAATAGGTAGTTCAAACTGCCTGACCACTTGTAGACCACTGTGGTTTGAAATTGGCAAAACAACACAGTGATCATTATCTGTCACTGATACCTATTGGAGATGTAGTAGAGTTGAGATATTTGGGATAAAGAAAGACCAATTAATAATCCTAGAACAATCTATTTTAGGGAATATGGTTATTGATATTTGTCTGTTACTGCTGGAATATTGTCCTTCAAATTGGATTATATGATATACCTCGATTTGACTTGATCACTCGCTTTTACTTCTTCTTAGTAGGTAGAATTTCAATATTTAACAACATTGGTAGCTAAATAAACTCAAATGTCAACCATACTGTCTCTATCTATTGAAGGAGATTTTTATTTTTGATACATAATGGTAGAGCAGTATGGCTGCTTTGAATCATTGTATTTCATGTTCTGCGTTGGTTCTCCAGGGTTTTAATTGTAACATAGAGACGAGAGACACACAGACAATGAAATGATTTGTATAAATTCTTAATGGCAATTTGGATCAACGGGTGATTTGTGCTTCTATGTACATGTATTTTGTGTAGACTGTCATTAATTAATAAACTACAGTGTTTGTTAGAATCATTTGTCTTCCGTGTTTTATATTTTTGTATATCCCTGTAAAAGTCCTTGGCAGTTGGAATCTGATATAAGAGTAGGACATAGTTCCGCTGCCCTGCCAAAATTTCCCTTATAGCACACTGCATAGTGTATGCCTTTCTTCATTAGCCCAGACGGAGCAAAACAGCAGGACATTAAACCCCATTTCATTTGCATTTCCCTGTAAAAATTTCCTAATGCAAAGTGAAGGGAGAAGGGTGTGTTGGCCACTTTGTAAATCTCTTGTTGAATGCAATTCTTTAAATGTAGTGTGGACTCTCAGTATTGGCTTTTTCGGGTATAAGGTAGGCTGTGGGAAAACATAGGTTGCCAGGCAATGAAATGTACTCATACTAAGCTTAGTTGTCTGAGCTGTGCATAAAGTTTGTAACTATTTGATGATTTTCAAAACATTAGATGCTAGAGTGTTCACAAGATTTCACAACAAAGGAGCATAACTTGAGAAATGATCATCTAAAACTTTTCAAAATCAATGGCTGTCTTGATAAAAGCAGGGCTAATGTTTTTTTGTCTAATCCACAGCCTGACTAATGTGAATCTGTGCAGGAGCCATGGTGGGTGGCTGAAGGAGTAAGACGCTGGCTTGCTAGCCTGGAGGTTGCAGGTTCGCTCCCACTGTTGGCCGAAAAAGTTTATTAGGATTTTCCGGCGTGGTTTCCCCTTGTCAATGGTGCAGGACGGAGGGTCCGATAAGGACAACTGTCTAGTCATTCAGATGGGTTGAAAAACCGAGGTCCCATGCACGTAAAACAGCCCTGTCAGTTGGAATTCGATATAAGAGTAGGCTGTAGCGCTGCTGTCCGGAAAAAATTTCACTGCATGGCATATGCTGGTCTTCATTAGCCCAGTCGGAGCAGAACAGTAGAATGTTAAAAAAAAACCATTTCATTTCATTTCATTTGGAAGACTAAATTTATAAAGAATACACAAATGGATAGTTGATATATACTGTTTTAATCACACACTTGTATACAATATGATTACATACATAGTTTTAGTCTATATACTTGACTAGAAATTATCAGATTTATTTCATTGTAATTGGGACAGAATTGTACCGGGACTCTAGAACCATACACTATGCAAAATTGTACTTATCCCAGTATCAAAATTTTAATTTTAGCATCAAGATGTACATCAAAAATATTAATTTTTAAATATTTACATTTACAATCAATCAGGAAATGTTAAAATTGAGAAATTTACAGTTTTGGATCTTTGAGTAGTGCCTACAAACATAGAAATTTACATAAATTGTAACTAAAATCTGTCATATTTTATAACCACACACATCTTTTCCTAATAATACGGATCAAATGCACCAATAGATGAAAACATTAAATCAACGAACATAACAGGACAGTACTCATTCGCTCAATAATACATACAACAGGGGCACATGACAGGTCTGAAGATAGAGGTGGTATAACCATAGTCTATATCATAACATTACTACCAGTATTGAAATGGTATATTGTTTTAATGGCATTTAGTAATACCCAGGTAACATTTCTATGGAATACAGTTACTGCTTATAACTGAGAGATGTTTTGACTAGCCTCTCCTAGTATTTATCAAGCAATAAAAACGAGAGAAGCCTAATCGAAACATCGCTCAGTAATAAACAGTAACCTTTGTAATACAATTGGTATTATAATATGTAAAAATATTATCTCCCTTTAACTTTGTCCCTCTTTTTTAGGGAAACATCCCCCTTACACATCCCTTTTTTCTAGTACATCCCTCTCTTTCTAGGTGCACCACCACTCCCACCTCAGACCCTCTTTTTAAAAATTAAGATCTATAATGCAAACATAATATGATAATAACATTTGTTTCATACATAAGAAAATTATATTCAATTTTTTCAACCTTATATACATAAATAACTATTTATAACGGTTATAATATTTTGTTTTACAAATATTCTATAAAGACAGAAATAGTGTTGTTCTGTAAGGTACATATCTATATGGTCTATATCCCACAATCTACAACCTTATGGGACTTATCAATTGTAATATAATAGAAAGACTCTACTAATAGGTAATATAACTATAGGTTAATATTCAGAAATAATTTCACAGATGTAACTCTGTTAAATGCTGATTAAATATTCTGCTCATTTAATCCTGTACACCCATTTTAAGAAAATTGGACACCGTCCATTTTATGTAATATATGGTAGAAAGTTCTATAAATATTGCCTAATATTAGGCCATATATAAAAAAATATTCCGGTTCTCAGATACTCCCATGTGACATAAAAAATAAAAACGGGTCTCATTATTTACTGCATGTAAATATTTTCCTCCAGTTACAGAAAGTAAAAATTTGAGTGAAACCGGAATTGTACCCTAGACTCAATTATCAAATATATGAGCCTGATAAATGTTATAGGTAATCATAAAAACTACTGGATAATCATGCATTCAACAACATGATGAGTAATGACTTGAAATGGTGATGTTTATGAGAAGTCCATTAGTGATTCTTTGACAAAATAAAAAAAAACCCTCATCTGCCGTCAGATTTTCAGGAATTATTGCCTGTTAACCAGAATATTTTTTTTGTATGGCCTTAAAGATGGTGTATTTAATCTGTAAATAACAAGTCTTCATCGTAATCATCGGCCAACAGATTATTTCCCTGTTCTATTAATAAACCAGCCTGTTTACGATCCTCTGCTGCCTCTTCTTTTATTTTTCTAATTGCTTTCTTCTTTTCCTGTACTTTCTTCAATCTGTGAGCAGAAAGACATATTGAACTGATTAATCTGAGAATATTATTTATACAACACCCGATGTTTAGCGTAATAAATTCATGCCATTATTCCTTGTTACTTTGCGGACATAAAATGTTAATTCAAAAAGATAAATGATTCAAGAATGTCATGTTGATGTGGCATATTGATGTGCTTCGGTTTAGTATGCCAAGGTCTCAATGGATCAAAATATCAGCGTTAAAATGAAGCCGCACCACTGTAAGTCTTGTTTTTTGTTGGGTTTTTTTTTTGGGGGGGGGGGTCAATCCACAATATTTACCTATAGAACTCCTCACGTTCTCTTTCATCTAACTCTGTACTGATATAACTTAAGGTTCTTTCTATTTTTGGAATGATAACTGAAAACAGACAGACATTAAAAATCTTGAGGGTAGACACAAAAATATTAAACAAATGAAAATAATATTTACATGATGATACATGGGAAAGAAAAGTTACTGAGTAACTTCAGTACAAGTCGATCTTACAAACTCAAGACCACTTGCAATTACATCTGTCTTATAATCTACCTACAGACACTTGGCACTACATAATTGCCCTTTTAGATATACAGAAAACTATTGGTTCCCTCATTGCCATCCATAAAAATTTAACAAAACATACTTCATCACAATCTATTAGTGAAAGACTTATCTGTAATTCTTAGTTTATACAAATACCACACCATTGAAAATGTATTGGGTTTTTTCAATAACTTATCATGTACTGTAGTATTAACAGTAACACATTCAATGGGATTTTAATAATTTACCAAGTTCTATACTATAGCATTAACACGTCTTTTGGTGTTTTTTTAATAACTTACCATGTTCTATAGCATTTAATGTATCTATTGGCTATTTCAATAACTTACCATGTTCTATAGCATTAACGCATCTATTGGCTATTTCAATAACTTACCATGTTCTATGGCATTAACATGTCTATTGGTTATTTTAATAACTTACCATGTTCTATAGCATTAACACGTCTGTTGGTTATTTTAATAACTTCATCTAACGTAACAAATGATGTCTGTAAAGATGCTAGTTCAACTAACAATTGTATAGCTTTAGCATAATTCTTCTTTAATCTGTCTATCTGTTGTCCACCTCGAGATAAACCAGTTAATTCATATGCTGTAATGAAGTAAAAATAAATATTTTATAGTGTTATAATTAGAATCAATCTGATTAAAACACTGATCCTCTTTTGTTTCATTTCTTATAGTTCAGAGAGAGAGAGAGAGAAATGGGGTTTAACGTCCACTCGACACAAACTAGGTCATTTCGGGACTAACATATGGTTTAATTTTATTTCAATAATTCGCTTGCGCGTAGGGGTCTTTAGCAGTGGGAGGAAACCGGAGGACCCGGAGAAAACCCACGAAGTTGGACAGACGACCCTACTCCTTGTCACGTACAACCGGGGATTCGAAACCACGCCAGTCGACTCAATGACACTGACTTCTAGTTCAGAATTTCGTTTTATTTGTCTGTACTACACTAGGATCTGGAAGAGTTGTTATATAACCTGAGTTTTACTAGAACCTGTCAGATCTTCATGTAGTGCAGGCCATCGAAATTATAAAAAAAAAAAAACGAAATATAGATCTGTATTAATCAGATTGAATTAGAATTTGACATAACTTCAGTCTTTGGAAATACTAGTTATCGTGTGATACTGTATTGATTTGATCGATTTTGGTCTTTTCTCATTGGAGCACAAATCAAATCTTTGGCGCAAATAGACTGTTTTTATTAGCAATGACTTGCAATAGCAACAGCGGCTAACCTACTGTCAGAAATACAAAATCAACCAACGGAATAATTGACAAGATCTCAATGGTAAAACCCATCACTAAACTAAAAACTCTACCAAAGGAATAATTTTTACCAGATCTCAATGGTAAAACCTATCTCTAAAAACCCTCAAGAAATTGCATGTAGTATCATTTTTTTTAATATAAACTATATTTCATTCACAGAAAAGGATTAAGGAACAGGCTTAGGCTAGGTCTATATTACCTCTCTCCTATTGAGTTTGTGATATATTGGTGGTATCCACGGAAGATTACTCTTGAAGGCTGTTTTAACTTAAAAATTATTGTATTTATTGATAAATAAAAAACTTACTATCAGCTCCATCTTGATAATGTTCAAATATTGGTAAATTTACACCTGGAAAAAAAAAATATTAATAGGTAATTGTCCTCTGTAGAGATAGACAGGGAGAAATGGGGTTAACATCCTCTCGACATACACTTTGTCATTTTGGGAATAACATATGGAACTAACTTTTATTTCAATAATTCACCTGCTTGTAGGGATCTTTAGCAGTGGGAGGAAATCGGAGGACCCGAAAAAAAACCAGGGAGAAAACTCAGTTCATTGTGTCGAATTATCAATGCCTACTTAACTTAAAGATACATTGTGGGAGATTCAATAACGAGTTGGCAGTTCTCACTATAATAGTTAAAAACTAGATAATGTAAAGGAAATTTTTGCTGAAAATTTCATTCAAATTGATCCACTATGAACCGAGAACAAAGCGATTGAATTTCCGCCTAGCCTTGGTCATCATCACTAAAGTCAGTATGATAAACAGCATAGTCTTGATTATCCATTTAATCGTTAAATCGTGAAGGAAAGTTATGCAGTAAATTAGCTCACAATCCACTAAAGATCGCAGCCTAGCAATGCCATCTAGAGTTGATTATGGTCTGGATAGGTTAATTAATGTCTAATTAATAATTTAGATAACATTTCAGGCCTAAAGAAAGACCTGCAATAGACAGATTTAGCTCTTGCATAATGTATGTTTAATTTTACTGATAACATAGCCAAGGTCCCATACTTTTCATGGTTTAGAATTTTTTTATTTTGCTGACACTTTCAAATATAAAATAATGCAGATCCCATAAAATTACAAACTGTACCTGCACATGCATGCAGAATCATCATCATTAAAACTAGTTTAAGAGAAAGCGATAAAAGTGGTTCAATGTTCACTCTACACAAACTAGAGCATTTCGGGCTAATATAATATAACAAAATTTTATTTCAATAATTCGCTTGTACATAGGGGATCTTTAGCAGTGGAAGAAAATTAGATGTCCTAGAGGAAACCCATAAGGTTTGGCAAGCTTGGGATTGAAACCATACCTCTTGAGTCTTGACACTCTGAAGCACACACCTTGCATGTCGACTTACAACTGGTCATGACAAGTGTAGTTCAGTCAAATTCATGACAATCTCTCTCAGGCAAAGCATTCATTTCTATATCATTTCACAGTATTTTGAAAGTGTTTGGTAAACCTATATTAATTGTACAACAATAACATACTAACCAGCAACATTCTCCTTCTTGCTTTTAACTTTGATTTGAGCTTTAGTCACATTCTGTAAGATCATGTGATTTAAATCACCTGTAGCAAACTTAGCTTCTGCTAAAGAGAATGAAGCTGTCTTCATAATATCACCCATTATCATTTTAGTCTGAAATCAACATAAATGACTGTAAAGTCTTATATCAACGCTTTTAGTCGAAAACACTAAGTATACTTCGAGAATTGTGTTGAGTATTTATTCTGCTTCCATTTAATACAATTGAAAAAGTTTATTTAGTCTTTGTGTGTATAGGAGATGTGAAACGGGAGTAGAAACACAATACAAAACAAACAGTACCGGTATACTAATTTTTGTATATGGCGGTCATTTAGGACAGAGATCTATTCTCAAAGAATGAAGTAGATGGATCTCTGTGTGCAGAATGTGTGTGTGTAAGTCCATACTTTCTGAACTTATAATTAATTATCAACCCACTGTACATGCATATTACAACATTAACAAGTCAAGAACATAACATACCTCAATGATCTTTTTCAGGATATTACGAAATCTAAGAGTTAAAGCATCAGCTTTTTTCTTTAACAAACTGTGACCCTTTTGTGCTCCCTTCAGTCTGGCCTTCATAATGGTCAAGGCCCTATAATTATATAAAATATAATATTACTAATACTTTGTGGATTTCATCTTGGTAATATAAAAATATAATTTTTTTAAATATTGCCATAATGTGCATAAGTTAACAGATAGGCCTAACAAATCTGAAACTAATCAGTATGGTATATAGGTTTGAATTTAATCCATTAAGCTGCCACTTCTTTATTTCAAATGGATTAATTATTCATGTTACCTTTATGTTTAATAACTTTTAAAGGCTAACTAAGAATCAGTGTAATATATATGATGGATTTCATAAGTCTTAGTCTTGCAGAATAGTGGGCCAAGGCCTGCCGGTACATATAATAGACAATATTCATATAACTTTATGGGTTGGTATGTGTATATCAATCTTAAAATGAAATGGAAAGATATGTCTGTAATAAATGAACTGTCTGAAGATAGCAACCAAGCTATGTCCCATATCCATTCAATGAAAATGAAGAGTCATTTCAATGTCACCATTATTATGAATCCAATATGGCAATACTTGAACATCGAAACATCGGGACAAGTTTATTATTAATACGATGTCAGTAGGGATAACTAAGCGCCATAATAATATTAATTAGAACAATTTCACTGAAAATTTGGGATTTCTTAAAACATTTTTTAGTTGTCAAGTGATCAGACAGGGTGAGTGAGGAAAAGAGATGACAGTCCATCATGCTCACGCTAATATTATCTCGTGATCAATTTCTATGAGACTCGGGTTTGATATACCTCAATTAACTATTTGGATATTTGAACAAGGATCTATTTAGATAATAAGATAAGTAATCATACAAGAAATAAAGATATTATGCTTACATTCTTGAAGGGAAAACGTTGAGTTTTTCGGACATCTTGGACAGTTAAAAATATTGATCATGTGATGTATCACGTGATTTATTATATTGGAGTTGTTCCCCTTATATCTATGGATTAAAGTGATCAACCCACCCAAAACAACAAAATCGGCATTCGATTCGTCGACTAAATAAAACAAGCAGCAGAAAATGACAGGTGTATTTTTCCATCAAAATTTAGGACTGGATAATCGTTGCGTGAAAAGACCCGTATAGTTCAATGAAATGAAATAAAATACTTTTCTGCACCCGCTGGGCTAACGAAAAAAGACATTGCTGTTGAGGGAAATTTTTCTCCGTCAGCGGTGTTTCTACCGCCTCTTAGTCAAATTCCAGCTGTCGTGTTAAGGGCTCTTTCAGGTGATTACGGGTCCTCTCATTTTCGTTCCATCTGAACAACTAGACACTATTCCTCCCGTTCTTCTCCGCTGAACAAGGGTAAATGAGACTGGAAAATCCCGATGAATTGACTCATTTTCACCAGAATCATACACACAAGAAAAGTTTTTAATGTGCCGTGGAAAAAATGTGTCCAATCATTGAGAAAATACCATAGAGGGCTATATCAGTAGTGGTTCCAGGAATTTTTGCAGGAGAGGGTTTGCCAGGTTTCTGAGACAATGTACCTGGGGGCGGGAGCAGTCCTTTTTTTTTCTTTGAGAAATACATGGTCTCTATCGTCATTAAAATTTGGCGTATATACATACACACTGAGCTTTTTAAAGAAAGAAATTCAAAACCCCGTTTTACGTCAATTTTTATTATGAATTAATACGACCACATTGTGTTTTAATTTCATTGATGCAAAGCATTAATTGTGATATCACATATAGATATCATTATCTCGCGCTTTGAATGCCCATCTCATCCCACCATCTGACGATAAAGGTTAAAGCACATGGCCGTGACACTTCTCTCATAAAAAATGTTGTTTTACAAAAATGTTAGGTAGCTTGGTAGTGATGATTATTGGCAGTCGAAGAAATGGGAGCCGCAACAATAATAAATCTATCATCCCGGTGCGTCGTGGGTTAAATCGGTAACACTAATTTGCAAACATTTCAATACTAATGAAGAAAAGGAGACACGCTTTTCTGTAAACAGAGCAGTGCTTAATAATTTGACTCACTATCCGGGATGGGTTAGCAGTAACTAGCTCAGAGCAACGAGGTGGGTGGAAGTGTTCTCAGGGGTGCTGTAAAATTGACGGACAATGTGTATCTATTGTTTTTATGGTCGACAATTTTTTCACAGGGGGGGGGGGGGACTTCTTGCAGAGGGGCTGGATAGGTATGTGCAAATACTAGTGCCCCCCTCCCCCTTCCATCAGTACAACAACTGCCGATTGATGCTTGTCGATAATACATCGATTCAAAACGTAGGGTGTGATACATCAAACTGCCGGACCGTCATAAATGTGATGAACCAATATATATAATAAAATGCTTGTCAGAACAGGTGGAGGACATGGACATATGGGTGTCGGGGAACAATGGTGTGTTCCCATCTTGAAACACGCCTTTAAGATATAGAGAAAGTGGGTTGAGATACAGCGTAGATTTCCGCCACTAAACCGAAAATGAACTACATCAATAGCTTTCCATTACAGACATTGAGGCAAATACCACATGTAAAAACTTCTTTTATATAATTTGTTTTTTTACGACGATGGTAATATTGTATCGCCGAATCAAACGTGTAATCCACTTTATGGTAATTAACGGGAACCGGTGCAATACGGGTAATTTACTCAATGATGTCAGTGCAGACGTTCGACTCACGTAATTACATTGGTTCAAATTAGAGATGCCAATTACCACTGTCAATCAGTATAATTGTAAACATAACTGGTGGGAAATCAACGAAAAGTTCGTGTTGAAAATTTTGTATAGCTCACCAGGACAATGATATATTCATGTTATATCTTTGGAAGGGTTTTACGTCCATCTTTGCTGCACCAACCCGGTGATGCAGACGAGAATAGATTTTGAGAGAGACCCCTGCCCCTGGGAAACTATATTAAGAGTTGAAGTCGCACTACAATTTGAGGTTTACAGGCCCAACCCCACCCCACCCAAAAAAGGAAAAAAATAATACACCTCAACAAAAGTTACACATTTGCAACGAACTGCATTCCGACTGAAATATGAATATACATGTATTTCTTTATTCTTCGTCCTGCATTCAGAGAATTTTATTATTTTAGTTCCTTGTATTCAAGGGAAAGGTGTAACGCTAGTAAATCAAGCCGTTACCACAATGGAACAAAGGATGTTTTTGGAGCTGAAAGAACACTCTATAGCAGCACAGGTGAAATCAGAGCGTATGATTTAAGGCCCGCGTATAGGACTATTCACATTATTACATTGAACAATTAGAGGCTTTCAATATGATTCTGTCCTGGATAATAAACCTTTAATAGCCCTTAACATCAATATTATAATATAGACATCAGTAGCCTATTTGATGTTATAAACGTGAATGCCACTGTACAATAGGCTTCGATTTTTGTTCCCTTAAAAAAGTGTTTCCTTTCATCTTCTGTTAATACATATTAAATGCTATTAATAAAACTCCAGTAGTCATGCTTACAAAAGTCGTTTGGCTTTGAAACCAGTTCCACTGCATAGCATGAATATGCCACAGTTCTATTTTGTCGAGAGCTGTAGACAATGTTTTATTTTCCCGCCAAATTATGCAGGGCGCGTGGTGAAGAATAAAACGGTAGCAGACGATATCAGGTTGCTCGTAGTAATGGTATCTGCGCCGTTCTACACAACCGGTTCGCTAAAAGCAAGTGTGATTTCTCCAAACACATTTCAGTTCCAAGTGTAGAGCGCGATGATTCGGGACGCTTGTCGACATGCAGACTGCCTTTATTAGTTCTTATGAGTGAATGGGGTTGAAGCGTATGTCAGTTAGCCAGTTCTAAGGTTGATCTATTACAACAGTTTACAAAACAACAGTTTGGATAGTGTCTACAACGTCTTATATAGAACCTGTTTTGGATTACTGAAATTGTCAAAAAGTTTCGATATATTATATTTTTTTATTTTAAAAAAAGCTATCATTTTGGAGGATTACTTAAAATGGAATCGGCACCTTATGATAATGTGGAGTTTCCTGTACGAAAACCGGGAACAGGGACTTGGCCCGGTCCAGGACAACAGCAATCTCAAATCAAACTTATGTCTCAAACAAGCAAGGATAGGAGTACTGTTGGCGGTCCAAAGTTGGCTCCACTTTTGGAAACTATGGAAGTAGCAGAATCGGAAGACCAAAGGAATCAGTCCAAAAATGTCACGTCTACGTCACGAGTAAGCAGTTCTTCGGTGAGTTGTGTATATTATGAAACGTGATATTATTTAAGACTTGCATGCAATGATATATATATATAACTTAGGATGCCATGACAAGAAACGTTCTCCAAAATGGGACAAGGTTAGGCTATTTGGCATGCTCTGATAGGTGTATCAGAATTCGGGATACTTTATTTTCTAGTTTATACCATCAAATTTTCTCCCAAAAGATATCACGCAGCATGGCACAAGAACCATTCTTTAATGCAAGGCTTTACATAATCCAGAGAACTGTTTCACCCACACCCCTAATTTGAATTCCATTACAGTTACACATGCCTAGCAAAGGAAGTAGGTTTGTACACGATTCTTAAAACCATGTTAAAACATTTACGTGTCTGAATTTCACTGAATAGATGAATAATATGCTAATAGTTAGATATATATATCACACGTTATTGATTTTTGTGTTATATATTTCATAAAATATTTTACTTACTCACGGTATTTGTAAAATATAGATTTTGTAGTTTTGTTGAGATAGAAAACTCGGTGATCCAGGGCGTAAATTTATTAATGCTTGTAATTTTTATTTTATACATAATTATAGATTTTATTATGGATTTCAAAATATCTTCTGTTAATATTATTTGTTGAATAACTGGTAAATATGTTTTTGAGTGAGTATTTGCCATCGTTTGAAGAATTAAGTCAAGTTAAAATATTTTAAAATCATAAATGAAATTGTGTGAGGTTTTACGATAGACCCTACGTCAGCTCCCACTGGGTCACACTTAAAGAGACTTGTAAATAGAAATATAGGATAATATAGTTTACATCTGTAACTGGTTGTGTACAGTAAATGACGTGTTCTTTAACTTTTAAGTGCAAAATGTAAGTAGAATGTTCAGAATCCAAGAATAAAAGACTTCTTTAAAGTACTTTGATATCAAACAGGTTATTTACCAGTTGGGGTTTAAGATGTGGTTATCAGGTATTTCAAGTTGCACAACATAACTCCACTTTCAACATCTTGTCTATATTTATAAACACGTGTCAAGGACAAATTGCTGGTTAATGGAGGTTTACGTCACGTTACACCAAGCGTCAAATCTTTGATTATTTGTACTGTACATTCATGACCGGATAAGTAACAGATGCTTCAGAAGTTCCAAAAGGTAAATAGTGGCGCTGCCTTGGTTAATATTTTATGTCAAAATTTCATTTTCTAAATTTATAGTGGGGCCCACCGAACCCTTTCTACAGTCTCATAATGGACAGATGCTAATTGTATAGATCCTAATTTTTGGGAATATCTGTCCCGCCCTGGGAGAAGTCTCTCCGATCACTTACACAAAAAGGTAGATAAAAATAAATGTGGGTTATTATTGGTAAGATAACTTAAAAAGATTTATCGATCACTGTTGACCTAAACAGCAGTTGCAACAAAATTCAGTTGTTTTGATAAACAAATAGGTTCACTGAAGCTATAGATTTTCTGTTATATACACATAAAATTGTGCAGCGAATACCAACACAAAATAAAAACATGTTAAAATTGGACGTTTTAGGTCAATGAGAAGTGGTATCAGACATTCCAGAACACCCTGACAATTGATTGAAGGAAACATGAACACACACACACCGACACACGCGCACACTAGAATTTTTATAATTATTGATATTCACGTGTTAGTCATCTCCTCATTAAAGCACCTTTATTATTGGTTTACAACACATGTTAACTAGAGAACAATCAATGATAAATATTCTGACATTTTATTACTATGATAATGAATCATGGCCCTTTAAAAGGTCAAATCTTATTTATACGATCACTTAAAGGGGATAGGAACAATAATTAGAACACAAACTTCGATTTGACGTGAATCCATTATCAAGTAAAACTATTACCCATGAAATGGCAAACTGTGAAAATTTGAGCTCTTCAAATTACTTAGTGGTCGAGATAGCGCTGTATGAATAACAATAACAACTACTCACACTTATTTCATAACAAACCGATTAATTGTCAGTTATGTTTTGGAATATATACCCTACTGATTATTTTAACACATTGGTGAGGATATTATACCATTTCAGTTCACAATTGGGATACGATATTTTTTTCATGGTATATTTGTAGGTGGACCTTTAAAACCGACTGTATCTTACAAACTCATATTTGTATACTTGTTAATGTGTATCTGATTAAACTCCATTGATTAGTAATTTCTAATGTTGGATTTTCAGATCATAACATTTATACTTAAAGGGCGAAGACATTGTTTATTTCCGTGTAATTTGGTTATAATCACTTTTTATTCAATTTTTGAACGGTTGAAAAAAATGCATATTTATTGTACCAAGGTTCCTACCATTATGCTACACCATTTAAAAGAATGACCATTCTGCTGATTCGCGTGTTTTAATTAGCGGGAAACTCATTATTCCAGATGTTTTCGTCAATGTCCCTTTAATGTTTGCACAATTCAGATTATCAAATATTTAATTTAGCTCTCTTGAGAGGCTAATAATACAAATTCCCACGAGTGAAGAAGTAAAACCACACCCCGATAGGATTTCTTTTGGTCAGATATCCGATTGTGTAAAGAATATGTTGACCTTTATGGAGTCAGATAGTAATCTTAAATAAGATGTCATAAATTGGAACGTATTTCCTTAAGTATATTACAAGTGAAGGGTGTCATACGAGGCAGTGTATGCTGACATTATGATATATTTATGCTTCCTACTCCACATATCTAGTTTGAGCGTCTAGTACGACGTACAGGGCAGGGTATGCTTACTCCATTTTAGAACACCCGATACTATGTAACAATTTGTACACGAGGTAGAGACAGGGTATGCTTAATCTTGATTCGAACACTAGTTACTATCACTGATACGTGAAGTGTGAATTTATGTTTGATGTAATTCCTTCATAATAGAAGAAAATATGCAATGAAATATGGATTTAACTTGTAGAGCAATTTGACTGTTGAATTTATGTTTAACTGTGTTTTCTACACAACAATTTAGACCCTCACGCAAAGAAATTAAGCAATTTAACGAGTGGAGCAATGTGGCTGTTGAAATTATTTTTTAACAATAATTTTTCTGTACAATAATTTAGTCCCTCACGCAAAGAAATTACGCAATATAATATTGATTTGACTTAGGGATCGATTTGTCTGTTGTCTTGTTACGACTGCTCTAACAACATACTAACCAATATATCATTCTAATGTTTATTACTTTTGTTTTATCTAGAACCATAACACAAATTATCTTATCTCATTTTGTCCAGTGAGTATATCATACTATAGAAATACTCCTTTACATAATAAATCAATACCAGAATGTATTTTATCTCATCCCAACAAAATTACTATACTTTCTGTCCAGCGCAGTCCCAAACCATTGTAGCCTTCTTTTATGTAACAGATCAATACAAGACTGTTTATTTCCAAACACAGATTACAAATTGCTTTAGACATTTCAAATAATATACTATTATTTGGGATAAACCAGTGGAAACTCTTTAACTGCTAAATCGAAAGTTTTGAGATCAGTTTCCTCTTATGATCGCAAATGAGCATAAGCGAATCTCGGGTTTCCTCCTTTTGTGGGCACCAGTAATCATTAGCGCAGGTAGGATTTCCCAAGGAGGGAAATCTGGGGTTGTTAGTCAAATATCCTAAAACTGCATTATTCGGCGTTTTTTTAGGCTTTGTTTGTGGCAGTTCAAAGTAGATAATAATAAGGGAATATATTGAAAATCTTAGTCAAATTACTTCACTCTGAGCCAAGTGATTGTCATTGCTACCGTTGTTACGATAATAAACAAAGTCTCATTTATCCAATTTTACAGTAAATCATCAACTGCAAAACGTATTTAAAACTACTTAATATCGGAGCCATCCCATATCATCGAGAGTTGGCTATATTCTTAGTAAGTTTATCAATGTCTAATTAACAAGTTATATAACATATAAGGTCTAAAGAAAGACCTGCGATGGGCAGAATTAGCTCTTGCATAATGCCTGTTTAGGAGACAGCTAATTACTAAACTAATGAACTAAAATCTGTTTTTAAGACAATTAAGATAGCACCTGTTATCCATACAGTGATGGTGCATTCCGAGAAAATTATTCAGAACATAGCACCATTACTACATTACTACTGTCATTTTAATTACCCTAAAATGTCTTGAAAGTACCATTAATATGAAAGAGAGGCGATATTCGTAATGGCTTGCATTAAAAATTTCCCAGGTTTCACCAACAGCATAATTTTCTGCCAGAAAACAGACAACTGTTATCCAGGAATGTAGTTGTAATGTTCCTTTTGGCAGGAATTGTATTTACCGTAGACCGTGTTGAATTTATCGAGTTTTGTGAAGTGAGATTACTGGTGGGTATTGGCCTAGGTTTTATGGCATATTGTTATAATCAACGATTCCCTGATGAATAAAGCTGATCAGACCATTGTCTGATTGGTAGTGTCTGTCCTCATCAGGTCATTCAATGTTCCAGTTTTTTGTTAGTTAATGAGAGATTCTACATTAACGACATGCTGTAATTTAAATTAGAAATTCTCTTTTAGATATCGGCATCACTCAATGTTTCAGATTTTGCTATAGTCAAGGAGAGATTCTACCTTAAAGACATATTGTATTTAAATTGGAATTCTCTTTAATATCGGTACCATTAGTTTATTAAAACAACTAAGGGGTGTGGCATATATTTGGAACATAAGGAATAAAACATTGGTAATGTAAGATAGTCGCTTCTGACACTGATACACGCTGGTATACTCGAATAGGTCATAGTGTTGGAACCAGAAAGATATGGAATTGGATTAAATGTCCTAACGTTTTAACTTTCTGCATATATAATGTACAAGGGATCACATGTTCCTGAAACAACGACTGCGAGTTTTACAATATTGATAAGATGTAAAGCCAGATCAAGCCTTCTATTGAAGATGAAGATCTCGGCTTTCAGTTTTCCTCCGAACTGCTGGACGCT